TGTACTTGCCGATTTAGTCTTTAGTGTGTTACGATTTGACGATACACGCACCTATCTTCGCTTAATTTAGTAATTTCAGTTACTTTGGGCATTCCGGGTGTCGACCGCTAAGTGAGCTCAGCCGACCGATTGAGCTTGCTCGTTTTTTCGAAGTCCCTGGTCAGCTGGTGCCCAGACGAGTGAAATCATCTCTATGGGTCTTTTTACCGTGTCTAATATACGGACCGCCGTCTCCATCACCTTTCCCGATTCATAATTTCGTCTTATTCAAGAAGGCGCTTGATATTCTACAATACTAGATCCGACCCCAATATTTTCACGCCAATCATTCCGTATCCTCGTTTAAACGCTTGAACACATCCGGCATAGGAAACAGCATGACGTAGCCAGGAGACGCTGAAATGAGTTCGCCAACGACCATAAACACTGTACAACTCCCCACTAATGATTAAGGCATCAAATTTAGCTACCCTAAAACGTCTTTAGAACTACTGCATTTCTCGGTAAATACATCCAAAACTGATGTCGTGTTATACTTCCTGAAGTGTGATTTCAGAGTGTGCACAAGTAAAAAAAACATCAATAAAGAAACGAAAAACAGAAGTAAAGCAACACACAGGTTTATTGTACGCAGAGCGTTAAAGTACAAGGAATCAAACATGGGCATCTTAATGCGTGCGCGCAAACCCGCACAGGCACACGCACAGGCACACGCACACACACGCACACGCACAGGCACACACACGCACACGCACACGCACACGCACACGCACACGCACACGCGCACGCACACGCGCACACGCACACACACACACACACACACACACACACACACAAAAGAAATGAAACTGGGAAAATTCTATAGCTTGGTGTCACTCGTGTGATCTCTTAAAAGCGATACTTGAGCACTGAACAGTGTTACAGGTATGTAACTTCCTCTTGAGCTAACTCTTGTGATGAAATTTGATTCCAAAATTTCTTTTGTAAATGCGTTCACAGTCTTCTCTTAGAGAGAAGAAATTGTGCCTTGCAGATGAAAGCACGATAGCGTGTTGGCAAATTACAGTACTTTTTCTTATACTCGGCTAGTAATTCCGTATGGCGCCATTTACATGGTAGCCTCATTGAATGCAATAAATCAGACGGGACGCTTCTTTATTGCGTTGTTTAAGAATGTACAATACTATTGGTCTCGAATTTATGATCCGCAACACAGTGTGATTCAGAGGGACGCCGTATTGAAGGGATTCGGCAATTTTGACTACGTGGTGTTCTCTAACGTCCCAAAGGTGGACATCTCGGCATGGTCGTGTTCCATGATTAAGAATGGTAAGAGCGCACGATGTTTGTGTGTGTGTGTCTTCTTTGTGCCCTCTTTTTTAGTGCGCTAATACCATCGCTAATAATTTTTGAGGGTACGCGTATACCCAAGTACAATTCACCAGCATCGAGATATGGTCGCCGGACCAGGAAATGGTATGCGCCATCTTCGTGACTCTAGCTGAACACGATTAACACAGGATTACCATTGCGGGCGCTGAAAACTGCAGTTAACGCAATATAAGCAACGAAAGATAAAATCACAAGTCTAAGGAAACCTGGGCAAATAATTGGCAGACACAGACTGATTGATTGATATGTGGGGTTTAACGTGCCAAAACCACCATATGATTACGAGAGACGCCGTATTGGAGGGCTCCGGAAATTTAGACCACCTGGGGTTCTTTACCGTGCACCCAAGTCTGAGCGCATGGGCCTACAACATTTGCGCCTCCATTGGAAATGAAGCCGCCGCAGCCGGGATTTGATCCCGCGACCTGCATGTCAGCAGCCGAGTACCTTAGTCACTAGACCATCGCGGCGAGTCAAAATGGCACACAGAAATGCAGAATTGAGTATAAGTGCTCTACGGTTGCAGCTCTCCTTTCTGGCACTATGAAACAATTACCGCACGTATAAAACCGAGTAACAGAATGAAAACACACCGCAGCACTGTCTTCCGACCTCAGTAAGAGTTGGTGAGTGTTCCCTTTATATGCCCTCTTGGCATACGTTTGTTGCATCTTCCATGGCTCTCGTTTGGTGAACAAGCCCGAGTTCGCACTCTCGCTACTACAGCATCACTCTCGCCACACATCCTGGACGAATCTCTCTGCTTCGGAAACTCTGTCGTTTCTTGGGATGTCGCCGAAGTAGAACGCAGAAGGCAAAGGCGCCCCGTAGGAAGTCTGCGAAGATGGCGACGTCGAATGGCCAGAGTGGAACCGCCACGCGTTGTCCAGTGGCGATGGTTGTTGGTAGCTCGGAGAACATCTTATGGAGTTGAGTGCTGGCCTTCCCGAAGTCATTGCGGACGAACAGGATGCCCCCACCGTTACGTTTGTTTTTGACTTCTTTGGTAGACTGTTACATTTTTTCTGTGAAGAACGCGGTGTTTTTCTACTGGGCATGGGAGTAGCCGATGAACGTGCACAGGGTGGCTGCATCACAGTGCAAAAGGTACATGGATGTTGTGGACTCGGCAAAGGCGGGCCAAACGGAGCAGACTTTTGGTTCCTTGGCGTTCCTCGGTTGCTTCCCTGTCCTTGTTGCGGGATTCCCCGTGCAGACCCCACAGTCGCCATCATAAACGCCGAATGACCTTTCCACGCTGCCATCGAAGCCGGTAAAACACAAACGTCAGCAGACAACTCCGGCGTAGTCAGTCTTCGCGTCCAGTGTGCCACCAGTTGTTCAGCGCAACACAGGATAGTTCCCTCTCATGAAATGGTGGTCTTCTTATAAGGTCAGCTAGCGATCAGTCATGTGATAGCCAGAGCAGGGCAATGGTAATCGCTGATCAAACCGATTCATATATGACGAAGAACTTAGCAGGTGATGGGGAAAAGCCTGAACCTGATACCACAAAGTGGGGACTTGCGTCGTGGTGGCAGTCTCTCGATAAGCCAACAGTGATTACCAAGAACTTTGTCATCAGTAAGCGGAAGAGTTGCTTCGAAAATGGTGTTACCAGTCTACACTCTGTTTACTTTGTAAATCACTTCGGATATAGTGTGCTAATATACTTTACCAAAGCGCTTCCTTTGAGGATCATTCTGCTTCAAATATTTAGCTGAGAGTCACGTCATTTACGTTTTAAAAATGTCCTGCTTTATTGGTTTCTGTGTGCTTGATAAGACATATATTACAAGAACAAACTTTGATGGCTGTGGCATATATAGAAAGGGTGAATATGTAAAATTGACTTCGGATAAATCCAGCCTGTTTATTGGTAATAACTTTACAGAAATGACAGTGTTTTTTTGCATGTTGTGTTTTAAACTTACGACGCTGTAAATCCCGTTTTATCCCAGTGTCGTCACTGCTGCTGCAGAAATTTGCATATTATGCCTTTCTGGCGTTGTGGCTCCTGTTTGTTTGGTTCCTTCTTAACTTTCTGTACATAGCTCACGAAAGGCTTCCGTGTTTGATCGTATCTACTTCCTACTCATGCAGGATGAAACCAGTTTCCTCATCCGCTACTTCCTTGTGAATTACTTCCTTCCTTTGTCTCCTCCCAAAGAAAAGCCCTCAAAGGGAAAGACAGGGTTAAACGCCAATAATATAAAACTCATGAACAGCACATATTATAAGCGCTTAATACTGAAACAAGGGGTCAGATACAATAGCTTTCTCTTGTGGAGCTTTGATGTTAATTAGGAAGGAGTAATTATTTCTTTGTTTCAGTGGGTCTAGGACCCAGCAAAGTGACTTCGCATAACTTTCCGTAGTTCACACCAACGCCCTCTTCGAATGAATCTTCCGCAGCAACGACACAGTGCCACGTTGACCTTCCTCTGACATTGTCCGCCGTTGAATCGCTGATGATGGCGCTCAGCCTCTGGCACGAAGGCCATGGGTTCGATTCTGGCGGTACTGGTTGCATTTTAGCATAATTGAAATGGCGAAGGTGCATGTACTGTTCAATGCCAATGCTTGTTGAAGAGAAAGAAATCACCGAAATTTCCAGAGTCCATAACTTAGACGTGATTTGTTCTTTTATGGTGGTTTTACCACGCAAAACCCACCATAATTTCATGTATCCTCGGCGATGGATCTTTTGTGGTTGTTCGTGTTTCTGACGAGCAAGCAGACAGTGTCGCGCTGGCGGAGGGGAGGTGTTTATTTCCTCATGAAACGTGCTTAGCCCCATCCCATCTGCCCTAACTGCCCCACTGTCACTTTCATTGAGCGCCCAGTGCGCACATTCAAGGATACTTTTTAATGAAGAGGGCAGTGATACCATGTTTCTTGACATATGCGCCTAATCTCTCAATCATTTGTGCTCGTTTTCGTGTGGTTAAAATGTGGCAAGTTCAGTGCCACGACATACTTCATGTATAGTTTGGCAGGGCTCAATGAAAGCACGGTATAGCACGCACAGCGCTGATGGTTTACGAGCTGCACTTATTTTAAAAATATCGAACGATGGCCACCTGGACACCATGTCAGCACCTTCATCACTGCGCGGTGAAAAATAAGCGCGCGCTGAACAATTCTATTTTTCACTATCTTTGCCGCTGGTTTCTTTCAGCTGTTGTTTACTTTGTGCTTGTACTGTTTTGCGAAGCCTATGATGAACTTTCGTACACACGTAATAATTTACAGATTATTGTCTGTGACGTACTTGTTACTTGTATTTTTAATCGTTCTTCGATTCCTTCAGCAGTATTAAAAAAATGCCATATTAGGCAAAGTGTGCTTCTCTCCTGCCACAAATTCCATAATCTTGTGCAAATATTTGCACACGATTATGAAATTAGTGGCATATATATATATATATATATATATATATATATATCTTGCTTCTTGCATTTACGTCTCTCGTGCTGCCTGATTTTGCGAATGTCGCACACCTAGCGCGAATCAATGCCCTCCCAAACTGAAAGACACCAGCATCAACCGCGTGGAACAAAAAGTGTTTGCTGCTTTACGCAGAACCGATATTGAGCAGAATGACATATTGGGTTGAAATGAACTTTATTAAACAAAATATGGTCAGACAAATACAATTTATAAACGTATTGGTTCATAACCTAACATTAGCATGTTTGCTTGCAACTATACGTACACAAATATACAGGCAGGGGCCACAGTTGTACAGTTATTTAACGATGTTCCAGTTTAGCACACAAAAACACATTGAAAATATCCTATAGGAACAGTTGCAGAGGTTTAGTATGCGTACTAAACATCCCTACTTACATTTAGGCATACACACACAAACGCGGACGAAGTCAGTTGCAACCTTGAAAAAGACAAGAGCGCTTGTTGAAACGTGGGATCAAGAAGCCATCCGCTGTTCTCGAATTTCTCATCGCTAGCTTCCACCCTCCCCTTCTTTCCTTTGATTTCGATACGTTCATTTATTAGCATTACTGGTCAACCGCTAAAACGTAGGTTACATTTACATCGTGCTATTATAATACAAAACTTATGAATAATTTACTACTCTACGTTGTAGTGATGCCTAAGCTGCAGAACGAGGGCATTTCTATTTTACTTGACCTGATAGGTTGTCACACACTGGCGTACCATTTGACAGAGCAGATGCTGGCATGTTCAGCCAACAGCTCCGTATAAGAGCCTCATTTTTACAAATGTTTACATGCGCTATAGGCTACTTCGATATATTTACCTGAGAGGGTTTATATTTTAAACTTTCTTGCATGTATGACGTAAAGCGATGGCCTCGCGCAGTATGCTCCCTCATTGGTCCATTTCATCACCTCCGTTGTGACGTCGTTCTTCAGAGCTTCTCGTTCCTCGACAGTGGCCATGGACCAGGCGGGGTTTAGAGACAACTGCATGTCTGAAATTGATACAATATCACGAAATTCAAAGTCATAAGTCTGTGTTCTTACTGTGTATAAATATTTACGAGTTTGTAACCAAGTAAATCACGCAGACAATCATGTCAAGGACAGCACCGATGACTTGACTTGCTGTCTTTGGTTAGTGTGCTAAATCAGACGAACCTAAATGAAATGAAGTGGACAAGACACCACTCTTTTCATCGGTTTTGCCTTTCAGAAGGTTTTATTTTCATGCTCCGTGCCTTCTGCTAAAACACTAAAGATCCCCCCAAAAAACGTAAGACGACTTCATCTACGGAAAAACAAATAAGAGTGTGAATTTGCGTAGGCCTGCCTCACGCATTCTTTTTCTTTTTTTATTGATTTGTTTATTTATTTTATTGCATTGCCTTTTTAATCTAATTTTCAACTGTAATGCAGCTGGTGTCTATCGTTAGAATTTTTTTTCCAAATTTCATAGCCATAGCTGATACTACCGCTGATGTACCACACAAATTCTAAATTCAATTTTTAAGTTTCAAGACAACTTAAGGAGGCAACATGCATATGTGGATCTGCAGGAGTAGGTCCTAACACTGTTTTTTATTCGTAAACAATTCATAATTTCAATAATATCTAGCACGAACGGGAACTTCTCTAGCAATTTATTAAACCACGATAAAACAATATGACTTGAGCGTCCAAGGATATCTCACTGCCATAGGCAGTGGTCGTGGTGATGTTTAAAGCCTACTTAAGAATCAAAAGTCGGCGAGCAAGGAAAGTGGCGTTAATTCTTACCTATGTGTGCCTCTGGTTTGTTGTAGTTTGGCTGCACATACAGTAGCTCACAGGTGCTTGGCTCTAAGTCGGCACCACGAAGGATGTCCCGTACGTAAGATATCCTTGCATCGTCATCCTCAAGGTCCTGACTTCGGGAAACAAAACTTTCGAAAACCTGATAAAAGTAAGAAAATAAAAATAACGTATTTAATGATAGCGCTGTTTCAAATATCATATCAGTATATAGGCACAGAAAAATTGTAATTATAAAACATCAAACATTTCCGGTGTTTCTTTACATAGAAAACTGTACACTTGTAATAAGTTTCAATAACCTATTGCAATCGTTCCTTCTGACTTATGCGTGAGACATTAGCATCTAATACTGGAATATCCCGTGGTCTTAACGCTGTGCATGTCTTCACAAAAGTTTTCGTGAAGAAGTCGCTAGAACAGAGCAGTTGTCAGCCAGGATGGCCAAGCTTAAAGTGTCTGTAGCAGCAAGCCCACTACAACCCCCGCCATCATTTATAGATCAACTCGACTAATAGAGGTATTGTAATTGTTTTAAAGTCTCTATGCCGTGAGGTTTCCACATCCACCTTGCTTTCCTTGAACAAAGTGATGCGCTTGCTTTGTTTACAGTATTTTTTCCCGAGGGACAAATATTCAGCCAATGAATTTTTCACTTACAGAAATGATAGTGACAATAATACTAATTTCAATAACACATACACCTTGATAAAACATATGTATAATGAACGCATAGGTCTGCTCGCTGTTGCAATTAAGTGGCCATAGACATATCAGCCGGGAGGGCAAGGGGAGCGCGAGCCCCCCCCCCCCCCCTCCAAAAAAAATTGGGGGGGGGGACTAAGCCCCCCCCCCACTTTTGATAGTGGTCACTTTTGCTGCACGCTGGGAAAACCAACAAGTAAGTTGAAAATTTCCGCCAAACCAGTAATCACTCAATTATGTTCTTACGGGAGAATGAAAATGTTACGAGGCACTGTTAAAACATTGAGAAATTCAGCCAACATTTACTCTGTGATGATTTTACTTGCGGGTTCCTTGCGGCGCGGGTCGCCTATGCGACGCGTTCGCGTCTTGTGCTGTAGTGTTACAGAGCAGGCAAGCGCTGAACAAGGGCCCAATAATATTACATCACTTGTTCATGCTTTTATTCTGCTGTGACTTCTTGATGAAGTTACGGATAGAGCAAACTTTTTATAGACCGGTCAAAGCATTTGCGGCTTCTGGAAAAAATTTTTTGTCAAAAAGGATATATCGTCACCACTGCTTTGTCGAAAATGTTGCGAGTCGATGAGTCGGGCTAAGGGCGCCATTCCTCAGCCTTTCAAAGTGTGATATATATATATATATATATATATATATATATATATATATATATATATATATATATATATATGGCAAGTTCTCTTTTAACCCACCTTTATTCCTTCCACATTTACATTACTATTCAGTATAATAGCTTTCCTTATACTTTCCTTGGCATTCTTGTCTGTTGATCTCTTTGATATTGTGTCAAAAACACAGAAAAACGAGCCCTAAAGTATACAATTCTTCCCTTAAATCACTAACGAGGGTCTATGACTGGCAGACTGGGTGCCTTTAGGTTTTATACTAGGGACTATTGGTCAGCTGTCAGGTTGTAATAAGTTCACGTGCTAAGTGACATCAAACAGGCTCATAAAGAGTGTGCCACACTCGCCGCCTTGGCTACTGATGGCGCTGACTGACGCTCCCACGTTTATTTCAAAATATGTACTGAATGATGTTGTTAGAGCATCGTTGGTAGAGCTCTGTTGGTAGAGCATCGAGCGCGTTACTCGAAGGTCGCCGGTTTGGTTCCTGCCCATGGCAAGTTATCTTTTCATCCACTTTTCTTTTTTCACATTTACATTGCCATTCGGTCTAATAACTTCCTCTATACTTTCAGGCCGCGGTCAAAGTAACTCTTGGTGTGTGTGAAGGTGCCTGCACAGACGGAACAAGTTCATTTTCTTGAGCAGTTTCCTTCGTTTATATTCTCCGCGCGTTCCATCACTATATTACTATAATGTTTTCATCTTCATTGCCAACGCAGCACCTAAGTGAGTTGTATCGGTGCATCTTGTGCAGGAATATGTTTCTGTACGCTACTTCAAGTCGACATCTGTTAGGTGAATTCTCTGCGTAACACAGTACATCTGTTGCTATTTTTAGTTTTCTTTGTGGATCTGCCAAATATATTCTTGGTACATACGTGTCAGCACGGGCGGGAACGAACTGTGTGACAAGGGCCAGGAACGCAACACAACATAATAAAAAATTACAAGTAAAACCACCCCCACCCCCTAAATACTGCTTCGTAACCTTTCAACATTGACTCCTTTCCAATTTCACCACACAACGCCATCTGGTACAGGATTTTACCCCTTGAAGAGTGAAAGGGGACGTTGTTCTCCAGCGCCGCCCGGGATACCAAATGTGGCCCAGAAAACCAGGGGCAAGTCGGCGAGGGAAGCATATGGATTACCAAGAAGAGAGGACCACTGCCACGGTCACTGGATGGAAAAGTTTCTTCCTCTGGAGGCCTTGCCACTACCATCCGGAGCATACGCCATATACTCGTAACGATAAAATACTGGTTGAAGACGTTATGAGTTACCACTACCAAACGGCATGTCCAAAGAACAATGGTTATATCCCTGTGGTACAATATTTTTGATACCCACTGTAGACAAAAAAATTGCGCAACGCAATCCCAGGCGTCTTAAGACTCGCCCCTTACGTACTTACGACACAAAGCAGCTCACCTTGGAAAATTTTCTCCAGCGTTCTAACTCTGCCACTTTCCTCCAAAGCATCCTCGTCGGTGACCAGGCGGGAAAAACGAGCAGGCACTCTCCACCGGGTGTTAGCAACGCCGAGACGTTCTTCATCGCTCGAGCCTGGTCTTTGACCCAGTTGAGGCAGAAGAAGGAGTAGATGCGGTCGAATTTGCCGTACTTTTTAGCAAAGTCGCTCACGTCATCCCCGATGTTGAGGTAATCGTGCTCTACGCGGGGATGCGCGCAGTGAGTCCGAGCGTACGCCAACATGTCCACCGAAGCGTCCACAGCGACGATTCTTTGGCAAGGGGAGCATCGCGGAAGAAGCCAGTCACGCGTGAAGTCTCCGGTACCACAGCCGATGTCCAGGAACTGTTGGTCCGCGCTCTGTTTGGTTCTGAACGCCATCTGGTACAGGTCCAGAACCTTGAGGTTAAGTTCTCTCTGACGGTCGTCGTTACTGGCGTACAGTTCCGAGTTGTACCTTGGATTTTGAGACTTCTTGTTCAGCGTATTGCTGTACGTTGTGTTTGGCATGGTGAATGTACACTGCTGAAAGGCAAATAAAACTGAAATAAGAGACAATGTGAGCACATCTGACACGTGTACACTAATTTCAGTTGTGTGTACTTCGCATTTTGAGAAAAAAAATTTAGTAACTCGTATTCTCAGCACTTTTTATGCGACATTGGCGTAAAGAAACAATAAATTTTGAATTCGCTCGACAAAAATACCTAGGCTCAAGCACAAGTGTGGTGCCCTCTCATCCGGCCTCATTGATTTTGCGCTGTGAAGATATGTCAATGCTGATTCACCAAATAGCTGAAGATACTATTGTAACTTGCACAAGAGCACAACAACACTGAATATATTTAATAGCCGAAATTTTCTTCCTTGTTAATTTCTTCTTTCTGCTTGTAATGTATCACGATAAAGCTCTATTGAATATGAACATGTCGGAAAATTCGAAGGCAAAGGGAACTGACCAATCTTGTCCTTACCGAGGGAAGAACCAGTCACAATTCACAATCGATGCGCTCAAAACTTCAATGCATACAGTATTAGGTTATTACACAACACTGTGCCCATCAAACGTTCATCTCTGTATGGGCGCCTTAAACCTATTAAAATGGTGCAGTCTTGAGGTTCTGCCCAGTAGAGTACCTACAATATATTCCTTGATGCGTTCTTTATAAATACCCAGCCAATGTGTTACGACGTGTCTGCGGATGTACGAACTTCCTGCCCACAATACATGTGCCCTGTCCTTCAACCGGTGCCCTGTGTTTTCCATTTTGTAAAGGAACCTTGCTGTCGCGACACCTTGGTCGTGCGAGCTGTGCTCCCACAGCACGTGGCTTTATTTATAGCTGCCATTTCTGCCGCCGTACAAGGGAATAAACGATTGTTTTCACATGACTTTTTTTAGGTATCCCGTTTTGGTGCCAGACAAACATTGCCTTCCAACAACGAAATTGACTTTTTTAGAACACTTGGAACCAAAGTATAGTGATGCACTGGTGGCGGTAAAAGTAGTTGTTTTTGAGCGAGAACGCGGCGAGGCATGTAAATGCGTTCCCTGAAAACGTACGCATATGGCAGTATTGAAATTATATGTTACGCTAAAACAAAAAAAGAAAACTAAGCGAAGCAATGTCGAGTGCATATGCCGTAGGTCTTAACCAAGTGCGAACTTCCGTTGGAGTTGCACTTTGGATTGAAAGTATTTGAATTCTTTTTTCGATGACGTGCTGCTTGGGGAAACGAATTTTATTATTCAGGATGTGCGCAGTAGTCTTCATTCCAACACGACCTTATAGTTATGCAAATTGCTGGTGTGTTTTTTTTCATCATACACCGCAGACCGAATAAAGTGATTGGCTAGATTTCAGACTTGCCTCTTGCTGATTTTAGTGCGCCGGGGATGAGCGTTCGTACCTGTATATTCCAAATGCCTGTCTGTGTAGTTTTGAGGAGGCATTCATTTTTATAAAGCCTTCGTTTTTAATACAATGCTTGATTGATAGATAATTAAAAAATTTGGAACGGTTGGGAAAGCACACATGGTGCATGGTAAAATCATATAACTGTTGGATAATATGATGCCGAGTATTGCTCCAGTCAGACCGCACCGCATGAATACGATTTCCTGATTGGCGACACGACCTAAGCAATAATTGGTTTACAATTCACTCTGAATCGTTCCTAGTCTGGTAACATTGTAAGCGCTGAAACGAACACATGACTACCATTGACGTCATGAAATATCTTAAGTTTACTAAGTATATAATGCTTGTGACCACTAAAAACTGCCATTTTATAGCAACTTAGGATCATTCAGGAGCTATGAGGAGGCTCCTAACCTTGATTATCAGTACACTGATAATGATCTTTGGTCTTCAACTATTGAACAATGCTGTTACAGTCACGGGACGTTGATTAAGTGTGCTATATGTTCCTTCTAAGTATTACGTCAAGCTCTTCACAAATATCTTTGTGTGCCACGAGCATTGTTAGTAGATAAGAAAAAAACGTTGAAATCTGGTTCTAATATTCTGCGAGATGAATTTGAACAGGTGCTGCCAAACTGCGTAGGTTATCCCATGGATATTATGCCATTTTAAATCGTGTCTGCTTCAATAAAAACAACTCGAACTCCTAGTATACCTTATCAGTGTGGTTAATTGGTCTACATGACGATACACCTGATAACGTTCACAGCACATGGGTTGACGAATACAACAATAGGAGATATGGAGAAGCATCGGTCTCCGTCTTTTATCGTCTTTCTTCTTAACGTCGGCCCTATGAACATAAGACAAAGCCTTGTATGTACCAGTGCTTGTCGCTGTGACTGTGCCAAAGCAACTGTCTGTGATTAGGCTGAGTTTCGTGTCGAACATCATTAAAAATATGCACACTAATGATGTATGCACTTTACAAAAAAATGGCCCTGTATTTGAATGTTACACTGCAAAAGTCGTCGAAAGCCGATAGTTTTGTGTCTGGAGAGAATGAACAAAACGTTTATTTGATGTTCTTCGCAAAAAAATCGGTGAATAGTATTATGGAGGCGCCGTCCTAGAGTGCCTCGAGCGTGCAGCGGAGGCGAACGAGCGCGTCAAGTCAAGTCACACGTGAGACATGAGCGCCATCTGGCAGTTATGCGCGCCCTGCTCGCCCGTCGTGGAGGTGATAAGGTGTTAAACGCAAGGCTACGGGTAGGTGCCATCACTGTGTCGCCTTAGCACAGCGTTGGAAACACTTGACTTTTCGTGCAAGCATTGCCTGCTCAGCGCAACGTGATAAACGCTATGGCCCTTATAATTACTTATGTACGCTTTTTCTAGTAAAAGACACACATACAGAATATTGACGTGTAGTTACTGTGCCTCAGATATGAGCAATATTTGCTTTTTAAATGTGAATAACACACAAGTATGAACGCGGAATCTTGAGCAATATTGGTGGGCGCTGCGGATGGGCTCAGTCGTTAGGAGTATCGTTTGGCCACTTTGGTGCCGTTTAGGGTACCGTGAAGGGCAGAAAAACAGACAGCCAGACAGACAGACATACCCAAGTGTCTGCGTCGAAGGTCCCCCAAAAAGACTATCATCTTTTAAAATGCGTCATATCTCTTGGCTAGTACGTTTTATGTACTATTCAGTCTCTGACCACGGGAATTTTAACGGGATGCACAGCTATGAGCCACACAACACAAAAAGCCTCGACTATGGTTCTCTGTGTCTTCATCATTTCGATCCCAGGGCTTTGGCGAAAGATGTAGCATTCGTCGATCTTATCGAATATCAACAGACCTACAGCGACCGCAGCGTTTGGTCAAAGTTGACGTCTTCATCTTAATTGTTGTTCGGTTAAATAATGCTGCTCCCCCAATGGCGTTGGTATAGAACGTATTTATGTGGTGCTAATACGACCACAGTGATATTTTTCAATCAACATAGCAGTGACCATCTTGGAGAAATTCGCTAATACTACCACATCAACGAACGCAGCCCAATGCCCAATATTTTTCTCTCTTGCGATTGGTTAGTGGCAACTTCCTTGCGTTATCTGAATTATCTACTTAATACGTACGGTACGTGTAATCAAGGAGTACGCATAAGACAGAAAACATTCCACAAATTGAACTGGCCGTATTGATTGCGGATTTTACACAGGATTGGTAACAAACACCACCAGTTTCGTGAAATCCTCGCACGTAACCTTCCTTATTACTAGGCTATTCGCTTTGTACCAATTACATACTTTCTATGATGCTGATGATGCTGAGAGGAATAGCGAAAAAACGGGACGAAGAAAGAATGATCAACGCAACACAAGCACTGTTTCTCTCAGAATGATGCACCAACTGGCCCTTCAAGACACCTTTCTACCATTTGTTTCTATGAAGATCGCGCTATAGAACAAATCACTGTTGCCTGGTATAAAAAGCTTCAAGTATATTTACACTCATGTGTGCTTGTCACTGAAGAGACCTATACAATCAACGAAAATAAAGAGGAACGCTCGAGCTTCGCTTCGACGAATTGAACGTCAAAACGATAAAAGCGACACCCGTGCTCATCCTCATTGCACTCTGTTTCACTTGTCGTTAGGTTCAGTCGCTAAGTGCATCAGGCAGCAGGAAGCACAGAAATGCACGCACACACCCACGTGCACTTACCCATGCACATGCGCGCGCACGCACACACACACGCACGCACGCACACGCGCACGCACACGCACACGCGCACACGCGCACGCACGCACGCGCGCACACGCGCACACACACACAAAAGATAAAGGTTTCCGCCCACTTCAACAGAACTCGTATGACAACACCGCGCCTACTACCTGCGATGAAGAGAAAGCGCGTACTGATGTTTGTGTTCTTTCTAATCGCTAGCATGCTTCGAGCCTACAGAAACCATGCCCGTGATACTCTTTTGGGACTGCGATGAACCCTTTTTGTATTTTTGAGGAAATGCGTGCAATGATGCATGCTTACTTTGTAATGGCGGAATGGCTTTAAACCACCAGGTCCTTATGCGAATTGCAGGACATGAAACCCGACGACCATTTCTGCTACTACGGATATTGCGTCTCGTACCATGTCGCCTGTACACTGAGCACGTGTGTTTAAGCATGGGAGTTACTTTCAGTGCCATTCTCAGCATTGAGTTTGGTCTTTGGTAAACACTTGCTGTTCATGCACCGCTGGTGCCTGCTTTCCATTATTTGCATCGATGGCAATTTTTTTTTGTTCCTGAAATAATTTTTCGCTTAGAGGAAACGACAATAACACCGGAATTCCTTCAACACAGGTTTTATAACGGTGTCACGTCAGCATTTACTGGAAACCATCCGTTCATACACGAAAATATTAACGCCCCGCCGCGGTGGGCTAGTGGCTAAGGTACTCGGCTGCTGACCCGCAGGTTGCAGGTTCGAATCGCGGCTGCGGTGGCGGCATTTCCGGTGGAGGCGGAAATGTTGTAGGCCCGTGTGCTCAGATTTGGGTGCGCGTTAAAGAACCCCAGGTGGTCGATTTTTCTGGAGCCCTCCACTACGGCGTCTCTCATAATCATATCATGGTTTAGGGACGTTAAACCCCACATATCGATACATATAACAATCAATCAACGAATGTAATAACCCTTTTCAAACGCCTAGCTCTTCACCATTCTTATTCTTTTACCTGAAACGTAGACACGTCCTTTTATTCCCATAAAAAACAGGGGAAGCTTTAGGTTGCAATAAATGAGGTGGTGTGGAGCTGGTACGTTGAGCTGTTTAATGAAGGTTTTCTTCCTTTTATACGAGGGGTCATGAATTCATAAGCTCGTAAAGCGTGGAGGGCTTCAGCACAACTCTTTTGATGTCTATACGTACACTATTGTGATGTTTGTTTATAGGTTAAACGCACAAAACGCCAATGTTTGCAGCCTGATATCTCGACATGGAACCCTATTTCTAAATCAGTCTATAGCCAACAGTGAATAATCATTTGAACAAAAACTAGAATTTCCTCAGTTTTGCAAAAAAACTGTTTTTCAAACAAGAAAAACTTGAGAACCCTCCTTGAATCTTGCGACACAAGGGATCACATTGACGAGCTCATTGTCTTCATTGACAAATTGAGACGTGTCTTAACACGGCCTGGATTCAGTTTCTATTTTTGTTCCGACACAGTTTGAATGGACATAGCTTTTGTCCAGTGGCGCTGAGAGAAAAAAAATTAGACAGAACCTGCTTAACAATGCTTCAGCTCCTTATGCCATGCAACAACAGCGATACCTTCCTTACTATATTTGAATTGACAGGCGTTGAAGTTGGTATTTCGCAAAAGTTTTTCACGCTACTGGTTATACTCTCTGCCTTGTCCTTTTTGACTTCTTCTTTCCTCCACGTCTTTCCATCAAACGAATGAAGCAGCTGCCTCACTGAAATTGCCGTCCTGATGGGTTTCCTTTACGCTTCATACTTGACAATATTCACAGACAACGCGCATCAAAGAGTGGGTCCATTTTACTTGGTCGTGTCATTTTTAGCTCTCTCTCTATATATATAAGGTTTTAGGACAGGCAAGCATTTTTGAGGAAGGCTTTTGTGCGTGGTCTCTGCCATCAACTCTCGCGCAACAAAGATCAGACATTAAAGACTGCCCAGGTTCCCACAAAGTGTAAGCAATGTTTTTTTTTCATTTCCTAATGACTAACACACTTCAAACTCGTTTTAAAGAGATGGCTTGTGTACCACAGGTAATTGTGAATGAGTTCACTTGAACTCCTCATTCGTTGTTTTTCCTCTAGGGGGTGTTTGTGCAAATGAATGAAGTTATTATTTCTTGTAATGGGAAGAATTCTTAGCTGAAAAGAAACTATCACATGAACGTGTTTTAGAAATATTTTACTCTACATATACGAGAGAAGAATTAGAGAATCGATGCTTTGGACATCCATGAAGGGGAAGAAAACACTAATTTATAAGATCTATGGAAAAAAAGATCTATAGAAATCTGATGCAGCCGTTCTAAGCGCACTTAGAGGCTTCAATGCACTCAGTGACAACACGTTGATGTGGTTGGCCGGAATTCGTGACCGCAATTTTTTCTGTGAGTGCAAATTCTGACATAATTGTGGCATTCCTTCATATCTACACCATCTGCAGAGACAAAAAAAAAGCTAGAAACGTTAGTGTTGGTGTATGGGGAGAACTCGGACAAAGCCACTGGGCACATCACAATGGGCAGATAATCAAATTGCGTGTCACAGCTCTAAAGAACGCCCACCATAGTTTTTCTACAGTTTTGTAGTGTCCGTCTGCACTGCTTGCATCAACCGTTTTGTGCAAGAAAAACTTCAAAAAAAAATTAGAGCTAGTGCCCCAACGATAGAATGGGATAGGTGTCACTCTTCTTCCAAGATGCTTCACGGGTTGATAACACGTTCATTTCACTTTTACTCGTAAACAAATGGTCATACTTTTGGTGAAAATTGTCTTTCATTATTTATAAGCATGTTAGGCACATATTACGCACGCATAATGTTTGTTATATGGTGGAAATTATTGGTGAACCTACAAAGGTTTAAGGGAATCACCTTTGCTTCTTCGACGTGATGAAGCAAAAGTCTTATAACTCTTCTTAAGAGGTGTCACAGTAGCACGAGTTATTCGTCGTATGGCGATAGGCTGTGCAATCTACTGTTCTATTTTTCAGGCTAGCTGTTGAAAAACAGGAAAAGAACAAGTGCACTACGCTGACTTTTCTTTTGCATGGCCTTAGAACGTTCTATTGACGTACCTCAGTGTCTGCTCGTAACATCTACTTCCCCTTTTCTTGGGCAAGCCTACAGAAAAGGCCTTGAAGGGATGAAATCGAAACACCCTCAAGATAACCAACGATTCATTTCACGAACAATCAATGACCAGCACTTGTGGAATTTCTCACGTGCTAAGGGTTCATTATGTTAGGTTGGCAATGTTTTTGCATTGAGAAATTTGACGCATTTTCTGTCTCACCTTTGCATAAACAATTCTGTTTGAGGCAGTTCTACTTGTATGCCCAGGTGCTGAGAGTAAGAAAAAACGATGGATTCTATAATGGAGAAGCTCTTAATAGGGCTGAGCCTGCTCTTCGTAACCTTAGAAAGGGTAAGTTACTCTTCTTTGATTTCTTTTTTACACTGACTACGTAATAACTTGCACACCTAATTTAAAAAAAAAATTTATGACAATGACGCCTAGAGAGAAAAAAGGGAGATCTCGTCATTAAAATCAGGATGTACAGCCAGCGTACATTCGACTGCCTGTTATAGAGCATGCGCTATCTTTGCTAACATTGCCACGCTGCCTGCCATAAAGCACTATAATTTGAGTTCACAATATGTGCGTGTGTATAGAAAAAGTAACAATTCAGAGCACTTGGTACTATACTATGGTTGAGCAGAAAGGCATTCCAGGTGCGTGAAATCATCCTACTTTTTGCACAAAGACAACTAAGAAACCGAAACAAGCTACTACTACTACTATGAACAAGCAAAAGAGAAACTTGTAGGCTACGATACTGGAAAAATGGTTAGGTAAACAGTGATCTTTCAGTTGTAAGACACTCTGAATCGCTATACTAAACGCACTCACCTCAATGATGTGACGGACGTTTTCGGGAACCTATCAAATGCGTTATCTCACAAGGTTACTAAGGCTTATCGCGAAAAAAAAAAAGATCATGGAATCCTACACGCAGTAGGGTTTTCGTAGGCTAGCTCCCCAAAATGAAAGGAGCGAGAAAATGAAGGGGCTGCCGGGAAATTCAACTTTCGAAGACAAACAACATTTATTTTCAGAGGCAATAAGCAGTGACTCTATGGAAACGTTGTTGGGAGAACATTCATCTGAATCGAATCCTAATTACATGTGCTATCAGAATGTGTTTCTAATCATAAGCGTTGCATTTAAGAACGTAGAAATAAAAGCCTGTTTGTCGAACGATGTGAAACACTGAAGCCTACGTAACCATACATTTTATCATCAAACATGAACAAGTCTCTCTGAACAAGCCTCTCTAAACGATGTTCTCAGATTTTCAAAAACTGTGACTACTTTGAACCAACGCTGAAAGAAAAAAAAATGTTTACTTATATTGTTGGTCGCATTTTGCTCAACTTAACCTTAGTTTAGCACCACCGTTGTGTATCTAGCCCCTTCAAACACAAAAATTAAAGCTGTTTCTTTGGTATCTTATGAGTGTCTAGATAAACTATAGCCTCGGTAATCCTTACTCTTTTACAGATGTCTGCGCAGAAGGAAACGCTTAATCCAAAAGGTAATTTTTTGTATGCCCACCTTTGATTACAGAAATGCGAATTCTGCAATTCTTCAAACATGTAACTAAGCAACTTCCCAGGCTGAAATGAAGTGGTTGCATTCGCTCTCACATTACTAATGAGGTATAAAATGTCGAAGTGCTATTATCACCGCCCACACTTTGCTGAACCTTGTACTCAGCGTATTTTTTTTTTCAAAAATTTAACGGAGTATGATTATTAGCTTGGAAAAATAACACAACGAATAAGTCCTCTGTATACTAAATTACGCGTACTCACGAAATTGGGGGTATGTAATTAAGGCCTCATAAGCAAGTTTTTTTTAGCCGTCATCCAAATGTAAACAAGCGGTCCATGCTTATCCCAAAACTTCATTTCATTGTGTTTTCACATTATTGCGTGACTTGCTTCAGAATTAATTACGCGACCAGACGGCGTTTCGTCAAACCCTTGATTACGAGAAAAATAAAAAAAAGCAATTCACTTCTTTTTGTGACTTCAAGATTATTTCTTTTCTGGCATGACAACCCAATAACGGACTGATAATTGATATATTTACAGGATGTGGCGTGTCCAGCTACAAGACCATGATAGTGAACGGCACTGAAGTCAAAGAAACACAGTATCCATGGGCGGTATGGCAATCTTTTCGAAATCTCTTCAAATGGATATGAAACGTTCAATAAACGAACGCATTTTTTTTTATTTTACGACTAAAAAGACTACCCGCTCAGAGGAGGGAAAAAGAGTGAAGCCAGAGCTACAACGGGGAAGGCACAATTAGAGCACATAGTACGCGATCTTTATTTGACTCTATACAAATTAAAGCACTGAACAGTAACTGCCATGCATACAATCGGGTTTAATTAAAATAAAACAATAAACCAGTAGTAAAGTAATTCAGGAATGCTCTAGGTTAACCCATTAACCCTAAGGTGCTTCTTCGAGACGACGGTGCTTAAATGCACGTGTCGAGCTTCTAACTACACTTAGGACCTCGTCATGACAACCGCCCTCAAGCGTGTGCGCGTGCGCCCTCTGCTGGCGACACGCGACTGCAGTGCTGGTCACACCACAGTACCACCCACTGCGAGATTTCTCCAGAGTGTGAAGCAGACTGTAGAAGTCTTAGCATGAAGTATAAGTTGAGGCACATCGAACAGTGACTTGTCGCAGCATCAATGTCGGCAACAACCTGCGGCATTTCAATGCATGTTGTTTAGTTTGTCAGCATTTATACATGAACCATTTCAAGGGGCTAGACGTCAGCCTTTTTTTTTTGTCCTCGGATTCGCAGAAATTTTCAATAAGTACATAATTATTGATTGATTTATACATTCATTCATTTCAACTGAGTGAAGTTCAGGGAATAATTAGCAGTCGTTTACGTTTAGTTTCGCAGCACTTCCCTCTATTTCCTTTTATTGTCTCGTCGCTCTCATAACCCCACAAAGATAGCTCTTTTAGTTGACCTGCGTGGCTTTCTTTCGATTCCTCGCTTCCACATTGCTGTTACTGAAATAAAAGAACAAAACCAAAAAGAACCAGAGCATATTCTACAGCCGATTCTATTTATTTGTCTCTTGCTTTGTAAATGAGGGGCAGGCAGAAATCTTTTTTATACTCGATGAAATTATAGAGCGCAACCAAAGTAATATTGAACGCCACGAATACCACAGGAACGTACGTGTGTTCCTCATACAAGATCTTCAAGAAGACATGAACGCATATTTCACCTTTTCATAATAATAATAATAATAATAATAATAATAATAATAATAATAATAATAATAATATAATAATAATAATAATAATAATAATAATAATAATAGGCAGCCGCAGCATCCTGAGTACACTCACTGCAGGACAAAGGCGTCTCCCGTGTTCCGCCAATCCACTCCGTCCTGTGGTTGCTGCTGCCACTTTACACCAGCATTCTTCCTAATCTCTACTGCCCACCTAAATTTTGTCACCCCCTCACCCGCTTGCCTTCTCTGGGAATCCAGCCAGTCGCCCTTAATGACCAGTGTATATCCTTCCTACGCGGTACGTGCCCGGCCCATGTCCATTTCTTCTTGATTTCGACTATGATGTCCTTAGCACCCGTTTGTTCTCTGGCCCACTGTGCTCTCTTCTTACCTCTCAATGTTACACCCATCCCTTTCCGCTCTTTACATCAGGTAAATATGAAGAGTGTTGGTAGCCCCTACAAGTAGAACTTACATCACCTCCGAATGCCCATGATCTCAACAGGCACACACAATATTGCTTTTACAATTCCAATAGATAGTGCAGTTTCTGCAGGAAGTGTCGCCCTGTCACCATAATTGTACCGGTCTTGAAGGTTTGAAGGAACAAGTAACTTGTGAGACTTCGATTCAACTGCTAATTTTCGTTTCCTCTGCTCGCCAGGTGTTTCTAGCAACGCAGTTTCCCTCAGGTCAATATGCTTGCGGAGGCACCATCATCACAAAGCGCCACGTCTTGAGTGCGGCCCACTGCTTTTTTGTGTAAGTGGACAAAATGTACAATTTGGCTTTGAATGGACGGCATTCTCGCCGTCGATGAAGCACCTCAGCAAGCACGCGTTCTTTTTGAAATGCCTTTTTGACATCTCTTGAATAATTTTATACACTTCTCATTAGCGAAGCCCGCCCTCTACCTCAACTGTCGCCGTCGAAGCTCCCTGGTACAGTGCCATCTGTGGCGTTTTTCCTTCACACGGCTAGATAAATGAGCTTAATGACCGCCGGAACGCGAATAGCGCCTGCACGATGCGCTAAGCGCTACACTAGAAACGCACGTGAAACGAAGGCAAATTGGTCTACCTCTCCCTCTGTCTTCGACACTGCCCTCTTCATTCAAACCAGCAAAAGCACGTTGCCGATTCCGAGCTCAGCAGACGCCCTTTCTGCATGCGGCGAAAACGTGGCACATAGTGCAAAGTAAACACACTGCATGGTCGTTCGCGTCCCATTTCTAACAAGCTTCGCTGATTTGTTTTATTAGTACGCGGAAGAACGGCTAAGTTCTGGCACGTGACGACGTAGAGGGAGGTTTAGGATAGTATAGGTGTGGGTGCGTCTCCGCGATGTTGGGGTGACAAGTTAGCTTTGAATAGCGGAGCTGGTCAATCTTTTCGTTCTGTATACGTAATTCTCGAAAACTCGGCTGGTAATATGCGTCACTGAAAGCATGCACCGTATTACGCGCCACTGTCCGGCTGAAAATGATTTTCCTTGAAGTTGTGTACTTGTAGAAATTAGTTATGATTCCCGAAAGGTACGAAGCATGTTGATCTCGGGTAAACACTTCATGGGGTACTCGGTTGGGTGATCGGTTTGCAAGGTATACTCATCAAACTTTTCTGCTTAGCACTTGTGCCTAGTAAGTGTGCTGCTGAAGTCAGTTCAGGTGCACAGAATAATCCCTCAAAGCAAACCAGGCCACCTTTCATTCTATTTAGAGGGGCATGCAGCCATAGTCACTATAGTAAAATAAATTTTACTCCTTGGTTTCGCAGTGGTTTTGATTCTGGAAGATTCCGTATATGTCAACTGGATCAATTGATTTGATTGATATGTAACGTTTTACGTTACCAAACCACCACATGATTACGAGAGACGCCATAATGGAGGCCTCTGGTAATTTCGACCACCTGGGCTTCTTCAGCATGCACCCAAACCTGAGCACACGAGCCTACAGTAGTTTCGCCTCCATTGAAAATGTAGCCGCCGCAGTCGGCGTTCAAACCCACGACCTGCGCGTCAGCAGCCGAGTACTTTAGGTGCTAGATCACCACGGCAGAGCCAGTGTATGAATTTATGTAGTTTTCTATAGTTTCTCATGTTAATCAGAATTCCGGTTTACAGGATGTGTACTTCTTTGCCGAACAACAAACATTTTACGGGAGAACGTATGAAACGAACACTTCACCCTAGGTCTCACTGAAAACTATGAAGGACAATGACTTGAGCGTGTTTCTAGATAAAACTGCACGAACTGCGCCAGAGGTTAGAAGAATTAATAACGCACATTGAGTATTGACATCCAACATCGTCAGCGCTGTGTTTTTCTTTTGCGTAATATTTCCCGTTTTCTGCACCGATGTTTTTGCACCAGTGCGTATGTGCGTTGTTTCTGTCATCTTTGTTGAACAACTTCTTTCAACTTCGTTGCAGTAACAACGAATACGCACAGAAGGTGACTGTCTCGTACGGCAGTGTGGATCGTCACAGCGGAAAGAAGGTTGACGCTTCGAAGGTGCTCATTCACAAGCATTTCGACAATCTAACTGCCTCGAATGACATCGCCCTTCTTGAGGTACGGAATGTCCTTCAGCATTGTGGGTCTTCAGTTCTTTATTATGGATCGATCCGGGGAACGCCAGCAGGTGTTTCAGTTGCGCTTGAGCGTTTTGCACAAACGTAGGCTACAGAGACACCTATGCAGTTATATGACTCACGATTGCGATATCAATTAACTTTGAGCGCTAGATATCAAATGTTGAAGGAAGAGTCTCAAGTGCAGCAGCCGGAATATGTAGAACGTTTAACTTTAAAAGAATTACCGTTTCTTTAAATTAAGATAACAGGGTAACCGGCTTTCAAGGCCGGATACGCTTTTCTCAAGTTTAACCGGATAGTCGGTTTGGCGGATACTCTCAAGCTGTAGCAGTAGATTGTCACTGTATGGGCTGGCTAGGCACCAACCCCAGCAAATACGTTTGCTTGCGTATTTTCGAGCAGAAACGAAGAGTATTTCAGAACCGCACACATATGAACACAAACGATGCACAATCAACATACGTTCCGAAATTGTTGTAGACGTTTCTCACAACAGTACTGGTTCTCTGCCATCGAGAGCGCTGATTGAGTCTGCTTGCACCGCATGTATTGCATTGTTATTGCCTACCCTGATTATGCCAAACTTGGGGAAATTACTTAACGTGCAAATGATTGGCCAGTGGTTCAAAATACCCCCCTTCCCCCACTGCAGGTATTACTTAGGGTGTAAAATAATCGATGTCGTGTATTAAAAGCTCAGTCAAGTAACGAACATGGCCTCTGCAGCATTTCAAATATTTGCGCACCTGAAATGCACACCCTAAAATTGAAATGGAATAAAATAAGTGTATGAGAAGTGTAAATAATTGTGAATGCCTTCAAACACGCAATTATAATGCGCGAGAGGCTAGCCACAGAGTTGCGAGAATTATTCACTTTCAAGAGAAAACAGTACTCTACTATATCTATTCATCATATAAAACTCGGTGTGGTGTGGCTGTGGCACTATTTTCTGAATGCCCTCTGCCGAGTTAATGTGATGGATGATTGAAAGAAGAAATAAACAGTCACCAACTATTACGGTAATTCTTTTTGCATATTCCAAGCACTCCTTCGTGTTGGGGCAAGGCCCACTGTACATAACGTTTTGACTTGCAGCAAGACATCCACTGCACTAAAGATAATAATTTTTTCGATCACAAGTCACACAGCACTGAGTACACCTTTATTTATTTTTCTGTGAATAAGCGATTAGCCGCCACACTCCTGCAAGATACCTCTTCCACTTCTTCGATTATTTCAACTCTTGAGCATGTCTATTCACCTCTTCAATGCATGAATGTATACTCAAGTTATGGCTCTGATGAATGCCGACACTTTTGTTCTATGCAGGTGAAATACCCGTTCCAGTTTAGCAAAGACGTCGCGCCTATATGCCTCCCGACGACCCCGGTGAAACTTGTGAATAAAGATGCGGTTGTCGCTGGATGGGGATCTCTTTACCTTGGTAAGCTTCACTTGGTACCAAACAGTGCTTAGAAAAAGCTGCTCGACACGGCTAAAGAAACCAACAGATAATTAGGCCAACGAGAGCTTGATTTGAATTATTCGCTTTTTTTACTGCAATGTAGTTGCTAAGACCTTATTTCAAGGTAAATTAACAAACACATAAGAGTTGGTGGGGGAACGTTAGTGCATGTATTTGCTCAATTCATATTTGCTTCAATGTAAAGGAGCGTAAGATTTGGTGCATCATAGTTTGGATTCTAAACATGAAGTTCAAAAGTGTTATTAGAGCTTGGGTGAGTTGGTTAGTCGTACTTGGACTGCTATAGTACATTACGGTATAGAAGAAACAGCCGAGCAGACAGAACAGAATACTGTGTCACTCCGTTAAACCGTTCCTTTTCTCCCTTAAAGCGCTATACCTATTCAAGTCCTAGCATGAACAGTAGCATAACAGGTTCATGTAACATTTTTTAATTTGATTTCGAGAAATTTAAGCGTTTGCAGCCACATGAGCAGGAAGATTTATTCATTTTCTGTTTCGTTTCAGGGGGACAAGGCGTCGACTTCCTTCGTCACACAACGGTCACATTTTTGCCTGACCAGATATGCAGTGTAATATTTATGGGACGAAGGTACTCAAGCGTGCTGCAATGCTGTGCCCATAAGCGGGGCAAGGGCGCGTGCAAGGTAAGCCAATCCCAAGTTTCGAATATGTTGCTGTAACCTATCAGTGATTAGGATCCTGTGTTGTACTTATGGCATGAGTGACGGCGTTCCTTTGTTAAATTTATAAAAAGAAGCGAATAATCCCGAGTGTTTGCGCTAGGAATCATATGTAAAGAGTACACACTTTGGACAAAAGCCAAATTTTTATACTGAATGCTTGACTTTGTTAGAATGGTCATGCATGGACTCATAACGCCGTTCCACCAAAAATCCCTTCATTTCTGTGTTCAGGCACCCATTATAAAGTCTTCCTTCCATCATAAATTATTCCGCCAGCAAACAATGTACCTGAAACTTGCAATAACCAGTAGAAGTGAAAGAGCCCTCAATGCGTCTTTCCACATTTGTTCATTTGTCATTCGCACGATCACCTAAATACAAGCTATTCGTCTAGCTACTGCCCTGCGGCTCTATCTCAACTCAACCAAAGTGGCTTACGGAAGACTTTCTTCTTCTTGCCATTACAACTTCTTTTAATTATAACAGGAGATACATATAGAGGTGTCTCATGCGGACAAGCAGATGATTATATCATCATCATGATCATCATCATCATCATGCGGACAAGCAGATGATTATATCATCACCATTAACATCATCATCATCATCATCAATAACAACAGCAGCAACATCAAAAACAACAACAACAACAACAACCACTACATCAACCTGACTGTGGAGTCCTCATGGAAAATGTCTCTTCCGTGTTTAGCCAATCAACCCAGTCCTGACACTTGTAAGGCCACATTATACGCACAAAATCATTACTCTCCTCTGCCCACTGAGGTTTATGTCCCGCTTTCACGTTTCCATTCATTTGGAATCCCTTCGTTGCTCTTAACGAGCAACGGTTATCTATTCTACATGTTGTATGCTCTTTGGATACCCATTTTTTTTCTACATTTACTCCAGGTGTGCGCAACATCCTTTTATTTCGCCTGCCTTTGCACACACTGATTTACTTTTCATCGTTCACTGCGTTTCCTACAAATTAAACCCTCTTTGTAAGCCTCCAGGTTTCTGCTCAGCAGGTAAGGAGTAGCAATATTCAGTTCTTATGTACCTTTTTCTTAGGGGAGAGCAGCAAAGTATTGTTTGCAATTCATTCTTATTAGTCTATATACTTCGATGTCATCGTTAAGCTCTGTGTTAGCTACCTGTAGTAATTATACGCACTCCTTATTCGATAAAAAGTACCTTGACGGAATCACGAACGTGCACCATAGCGTTGTTCTTTGTGAGTTTATATCTTATTTTCACTCTAAATCCCTTCACTGAATGCCTTCTTGTCTGTGAGGTAGTTTTCAATTAATGAATAAATAAATTATTAACCTCTTGTGTTGCCTCATTACCTATGGCAAAAAACAGCTGTCTTCTCAGACTGATAGCTTGCACGTCCGATAGCTTGCCAGTGATGAGAGCTGAGCTGTCTAATAGGATTTAGGCATGTAAAACCATTTGTCTTCAAGGCCCTCAGTGATCCTTAACCCATTATTAAAACACGCGCGCCCGCAGACAAAAAGTAGTCCCATAGTCCCTTTTGCCGTCAGCTGAAAAGACAAAAGCCATCTTCATTATCTTACTCTTGAATCAATTGTGTTGATCATCTCCGTCAGCCTATCCCACGAAGAAAGCTTCCAGCTCTTTACGTGATTCAAAACTGCTTATAGTATCGGAAGCGCCGCAGATTCCTGCACTTCTCACATTTTTGCCTACGCAATCGGTTTACGTTTTGCCAAAGGAGTATGCTGAATGATGGCGTCATAGTCATGAGTCGTAATATTGACACCCCAATGGCATCACAATTTCTGGAGACGAATCATGTACCACGTCACATGATGGGGACCTTTTACATCGCAGTCTGTTGACGTCACCGCCCGCTGTCACTATTTGAATTTGATGAAGCCTCAAAAGCGTTCGCCTTGCCTCGTTACTTTGTTATACAGGGTGACTCGGGAGGACCAGTGATGCTACGGTCCGCAACTGACCGCTTCCAGCAAGTTGGCATAGTCTCGTACTTGATCGGCACATGCGGCGGAGACTTCAACCCACAAGTATACACGCGAATAAACGCTTACATCGACTGGCTGACACAGGCAGTTTCTTCAAGCGCAAGCTACAAGCTTCTTGGCAGTCCAAAGCCCGAAATGCTCAAAAGAATTTCTATCTCTTGGGGATAAGAAAAATTTTGAGTCAATAACACACAACATTCACAGGGTGGCGTGGATATGGCCTAATAAATAGCCCTTTCAATGACTCTGCTTTTTAATGGTATTCACGGTGCATGTGGTCCTCACCACGAGTGTGTTCTTGAAGTATAGACGCCAACGCTGTTTAGTTGCACACTGCATGCGGCCATGTGCACAGATTCACAGTTGAACATGTGCGTCGGCTTTAAACTAACGCTTACTTTTCACACCGATTACGTTATGTGAATCACATAGACGAAGGTAATGAAATTATATACTCGTTAAATTTTCCAAAGATTCCTAGTTGAGCCGCCAGCCCACAGCGCCTGTTACGACAGCTGGCACGTGGATTTGGCTCATAAGACAGAACTGGCTTTACTGTTCGTGCTTTAGAGACAAGCAACCTTGTTCACTGATGTAGAGCATTCCCAGACCGATGCGGCTTCCATTTGTTTGAACAACCATCTGGTGTGATAGTGCGGGGGGAATTAATACCGTATTAGGGGCGAAGCACATTAGGGTCAAGCCTTGTCCCTGGGATGTCCGTTGTCCTGGCTTGCTGGGAGCGCCGGCCTCGAGTGCACCATTATCGCAGGTGCACCATTATCGCAGGTGCACTCATGGCACGCTCTTTTTTTAGCTGCGGCGCCCCAGGGGCCATAAAACGAGCTTGCCCTCGGCTCTTTTTTTCTCTCATTGTCATTAAGTGCACGTCTTTATGAAATAAATAAATAAATAAATAACGGAAGTTCATGATTCCCCGGAGTTTCGCTCACTCGCCATTATTCACTTCGCGGATATGCCATGATTTTTTTTTTTTTTTACAGAAAGTTGGATACTTGTTACTCAGATCTAGCTTCCCGTTGAGTGTTGTGTTTTTCCGAGGCCGTCGAAAGGGTGCATATGCTCTAAACGATCCACGTAGGTGTTCCGAGATGACACCATGCGTTTGTTGGATCATCCCCAGGTTTCTTTTGATGGCTCGTGAACCAAGTGACCATCTTGTTTTTCATCCAAGCATAAACAATAGAGCATGTTTCACAGTTTTTTCAACACAAAGAAAAAAAGTTACAGCTAAGTCACAAGGGCTATAACTTGAATGTGATAGGCACAAATGTTAATGTCATACGAAGGAACACAAGAACCTAAGACTTACGGATATGATCTCGCGCGCGTGTGCTCTTTATGCGTAGCATGAAGTCACGTGAGAACTTTAAGACCAATGTACAACACAACAGTAGGGAAACCTCAACGACACGGGTCGGCAAATTACTTAACTGGTCGACTAACTCACTCACGCAGACTCATATCTACCTCTGAATTGCAGTAAGCCTCAGTGAGCTATACTTGGGTGAACTTGAGTCTCAGAGAGAAAGAGAAAGAAAGATGAGATCACTTATTAAGAAAAAAAAAACAGTTTGGAGGCCAAAGCATGACCGCGCTACCTGGTCGGCGTCACTAGTCCGGGACACCGCATGACAAGACCCCGATTAGCACCCGACTCACCAGAGTCCGTTGAGACTCCAGCAAGGAGCGGGAGTCCAGTTGACAATTATTCACAGACTCTGAGTCTGACTGAGCCAACTTCAAGAAAGTCTTCACGAGTCTGGGCCCAAGTGGGTCCCAAGTTGAAAAAACGCCAGGCCTGCGTGGTGTAGGCGCAGCACAGTCGCAGAGAAAGCTAGAAGAGCGGCCTTTCGGAGCCTTTTGAAAACACTCATTCGGCAACTATAAACTACAAGCGCACTTGCTTTGTACCCACTAGGGCATTAATATTAAACTTTTGGGTAGTAGGCCGGCAATCGCTACGCCATTTTTCGTCATTCTTCTGAGAGGCGTGGTATCCGCTAAACACTCGCTAGGAATTTTGCGCCAGTTGTCTATGCAGTGGGTGACGAATATGAAGAATTATGGCTGAAGTGGGTATGCGCCACAGTTAATAAGTGAACAAGAGCAAGCTTTTGTGATGGTTTGGATTAGAGTGCCTAGAAATAATACTCTAGACACTGTAGTTTGGAGCATTGCACGGCTTACTCGTTACGCTATTCACATTGCGCGATGACTGGTTGTTCTTTCGCTGTTGTAAACCGCTTTATAAGTCGTATTAACGCGATTGCTTTCCCTACATCAAGCCTGCCCAAGGCAAGTTTGTCAACAAGTCACAAACACCACCGTAACTCAGTGGTAGAATATTGGGCTGTCACTCAGTGGACCTGGGTTCAAGCCCCACTGTGTCATTGGGGCAGGGTTTTCTTTCTAATTTCGCACGCTGTGGTTACGGACGCCGGTGGTGGCGTTGGCGCCAGATAACAACTGCGCGTGACCCAAAAGGTGATCTGATAAGAGCTTTCACTGCAAAAAAATAATAAATCTATTGAGTGAGTACGTGTGAGTTCCATATTTGTTGACGAACTATCACACTATCTACCCAAGTTCAGCACGTGTTGTAGGCCCGTGTACTCAGATTTGGGTGCACGTTAAAGAACCCCAGGTGGTCAAAATTTCCGGAGCCCTCCACTACGGCGTCTCTCATAATCATATGGTGGTTTTGGGACGTTAAACCCCACATATCAATCAAGTTCAGCACTACTATACCCATCATGTCTGCTCCAAATTACACTCACGTCCACTCACAGACATTTACGTACACACGTTTTCATGCTTCAGGCCACTGTTTGTGGATCTGCGACTTGAATTGCAGAGGAGGAGATAAGTCAAGCTTTGTCCCCCTTCATGCGTAAGTAAGATAACAAGCTGTAGTGTTTTTCATCCAGGGGCGTCAATACTTGACTTAAACTTGACGCTGAAGGCAACGATTCTTTGTCATTCAATAAATAGAACTAATAAAGAAGAAACAAAAATTAAGTATTTCCAAATCATGCCCAATTACGCAACATTCGCGCCACACACCCTCCACTCTGCAACGCATTTACTAGTGTTCCCCTCGTGGAAAGATGTGAGGGGCACTTTTTTTTTCCTCGCGCAAGGCCATGTCACACACGGCTGGACGTGGGAAGAAGTGGAAATCACCCCTTTAGCTCATGAGCGCGATGACGCCACTCACCGAATGCCCGCTTACGCAGGCACCGCTGCGACTGACAATGCGCAGAGAAATGGTACTGATACGCCTCTCACGGAAAACGACACATAGTAGGACCTATGCAAAAATAGTATTACCAAAACGATTAAAACGGGAGAAAAACATGCCTCCTTTGTGAACAACTGACTTTCGTTGAGCAACATTCAAGTGGCTGGTCAATTAGCACTTTTTATTTCCCACAGATATTGAGGAGCCCAATGTTTTAAAAGGTAGCAAAAAAAAAGTTGCAGTTTGCCCAATATGCTTTGCATTCGCGATGAAACTACTAAGTGCGTTCAAGCATTCAAGTGCGTCGCTTGATTTTTGCCACGTCTGTACTGCCACGTGTGGCAGACGACTATTTCACCAACGAAATGTCGAGAAGTTAAGAGGCGCAGCTCAGGCGTCGGCGTCACCACCAGCGTTCAACGCAAAACTCGCAGTCGTGCACAAGTGGCGTACGCTCGTTGTTACTGTCGCCTTGTAGCGCGGCATCTCATATAAAAACGGCGGTCTGCTTGGGTGCTTTCGGCTTCTGTGTAATCGTTGTCGCCATCATCGTTCGCAACTGTTGACACACCGCAAGAGACTGCAGTGACACGTTGCATCACATGGCACATCATCATCATCATCATCACCATCATCATCATAACCATCATCATCATCAGCCTGACTACGTCCCCTGCAGGACAAAGGCCTCTCCCATGTTCGGCCAGTTAACCCGGTCCTGTGCTTACTGCTGCCAATTTATACCCGCAAACTTCTTAATCTCATCTGCCCACCTAACCTTCTGTCTCCCCCTAACCCGCGTCCCTTCTCTGGGAATCCAGTTTGTTACCCTTAATGACCAGCGGCATGGCACATCATCATTACCCAATTACGCGATGGTGCATGTGGTAGTGATTTTCTCAAGGCAAGAGCGACGCTACTGCAGCCACAGTGGCTCTAGGGACAATGAGATTGTGTCTTCTTGAAAACAGTTTCAAGCTAGCATGAGAAAAAGGAACGGCCAAGCTTGGCCATACTGGCCAAGGTTCGTTTTCGCGGTCATGTTAGCCAATTTTCGGGTAAGTGGGATTGTATTGAACGCATAGACGTGCTTTATTTTACAAAACCGTTGGCCGGAAATATGAAATTTGTTCTCTTCCGGAAAGCGTACTATGCAAAACTGTACCAACTGTCTTCCACTGAACTTTATTTTCACAGATGAAGAGCTGCGCATGACTTAGGATGCGCTGACAAAATGTATAGCGTCATGCATAGCGTTTGGTACGGAAATTCTGAGGGGACGTCGCAACACCAATTTTGATCTCTTGCATTTTTATCGCTTAATAAGTGTCTTCTCGGTTTGTGAATACTGCCTTCGGTATTGTGGCAGAATAATGTAGTAGTACGGGAAAAATTCATTTTCTTTTTTGTGTCCACCGACACAAAACTAGGCCGCCTGCCATCAAGAAAACCTGTCCTTTATGCTAAAAATAGGTGAGAACCCTTCACAAGTCATACGAAACAGCGTACCGCTTTCAGAAGTGTATTGTCGTGATGAACTAAGTGGGACATGCGCTATATGTATACGGCAGCTTGACTTCTTCTTTCGATATTTATCGCTTTGTTTGCCTCCAAGCTTGCATGAACAAAGAAAGTAGCCAGGTCGACATAAAAATGAAATTCCTGCCAGGACCTGCTTAAAAAGGTTTCCGCCTGTCAAAATACTCAAGATACTCATACCATACCAGTACTTTGCTATATTTAAATAGGCATGCATTAACTCTAGTATAGCCAAATTGCTTTTCGGGAATCTCAAGTTAAAATACCTGCATTGTACTCTAGTTTTCTACCTCTCTGTCTTCGCGTAGGTCTTTCAAACGAACAAAGCAGCTGTCACTGAAGCAACCGTTCCAATGGTGTTAGCCTCGCATTTCATGCATTACATCTTTCATAGACAATACAGGTCAAACAGTTCGTTTTACCTATTCGTATTTCATGTTTTGTTCTAAGTACTTATAAAGATTCAATAGGAAGGGAACATCTGTGACGAAGGCTTTCTCGCTTTTTGTCCACCGCCTACTTTTTTCTAGATCACAGAGCAAAGAGCGATATCGACACTGGCTCCTTGCTAAATGTAAGAAATACTTTACTTCCTAAGGGCTTACGGGGATCGAACACCTTTGTGAGCGATGAATTCGTGATTGCAGTTTACTTGAACTAGAAAATAAGTTTAATCAAACTTCCCGTTTTTGCTGTTTTTACCATTGACAACAGAAGCTTGTACGAATGAATGTAGTCGTTGATTCTTGCAAGAATGAAATCAAGAAGAACTTAAAAAGACTTAATTTTCAATTTGGTGTCTTTAATACCAACAAATGTCACCGGCGCGTCATCAGGTAAGACTGCCGGTTTTCCCTAAAGTGTTCCACACACTCACTGCGTAGACCACTTGGCCCTTTTGTAGAAAGAGAAAACACTAGCGTGAAAAGAACAAGAACACGGAGTTTCTGTTCTCAAAGCAGCGGCGCTTAGAAAAACAGTTCCCGTGGTGACCACGGAAATGATTAAAGTACTGCTGTCTTAGTCGTGCTATCGGCCATCCCTGCAGCGTCTCAGGCTGCTTTATCAAATAATTTACAAGCGTGAAATGGTTTTCTGTTGTGGCAGGCTCCCCCACAGCAACAGCCAACGTCACCTTTTGCATCGTGCTGAAATGGGTGTTAAAGCTTTAATAAAATAGGTGTTAAAGCTTTAATAAAATGGGTGTTAATGCTTTCATAGTAATGGTGGTTAAAGCTTTAATAAATAAATATCCCTTTCATCCCAGGACAAGAGTGCTTGCTGTGTTCTCAAATCAGCTGCTCTGAACAGAGTTCCTAGTTCAGGTCTGTTTTGTAAGAGTAAAGAGAGATCCCGCGACGTGCGAATGGGTAGGGTGTAAGTGTACTCGCACCCAAAGAGCGTGGTTTTAGGAAGTAAATGTTTAGACTGCAGTTTTGCCATGTTTATAGCAGCATTGAGCGCAGGAGATTGTGCACAGCGCTTATGGGCATGAGAATCCACAGCCGTTGGGGCCGGCACCGACCGGACAAAGTGCTGATGATGCCGAAGGGGTACAGTAAGTTCGGCTCCTGAACGGTCACAACGATAGAGTTTCCTAAAATCACCAAGAATAGATTCTAGCATTTCGATTGTTCAACGACCGTGGAAATGATGGGTGGTACGTTGACTTGTCTAGCCTTTATGCTTGCGGGCTTTGAAAGGAGTTGTGGTTTTGTTTCTCGCAGTGTTTTGATGGTGTTTTGAAGACAAGAACAAACCACTTCAAACTTCGTGAGCGGATTTGAATTGGTGAGCCTTAAAGGTCAAGGTGGTGAAGTGCAACTGCTGAACAATTGCTGATTTTTGTTTTGTGACAAAGCAGCTTCAAGCCACTCGAAGTGAAACGGAACCGCAAGTGGGAAAATTAGGCGAATTCATGCGCTACCTGTCAATACCGTGCTCGCTGAAGCTACGTACGTTGCAGCTCCCACAGATACAAGCACTATAGTTACCTGGAAACTCTATTTCATGGAAACTCTGTGGTCACAACAGCCCACGTGATGGCTAAAGTAATCCGATACTTAAAGAGACCCTAGAAAAAATGTCGACCGATGATGCTGCCGGGCTGTCTTGATATACAGGCAGTACTTATTTTCTATAACACAATTTGTACTCATCAGCAGCGGTGAAGGGATGTTTTTCTCTCACCACTCTTGGATTGAGGCTTAACGGGTTCTGTTTATAAGACAGTCGATCCGATGAGGAACTGTTCGCTAATTGCAATTATTATCACAAGATTTTCAGCAAAACAGACATTATCTGCAAAACGTGTACTTTTTCCCAAAGCACTGGTGATTATTAGAGATTCGAAAGATTCGCTTGAACTATAGTGTTTCTGTGACAGGTGATTTTTGGTCACCAGTTGTGACAATTTTCTTGCTGAGTGCTTCTTACTTTTGCTGTCACAATGTGCAGTTTTTTATTGAGTTGATGCCTGTAAGTAAAAGATTTTCACCACCCATGTACGTTCGGATTTTTTCTATCCTTTGGAATACCATAATAGAACTAATACGAGCAATTTGAAGAAAAACAATAAAAACTGAAAGTTTCAAAGGGGTACAACTTTCATAAAAACATTCTTTTGACTTTTAATAAGCATATTTGCAGAGTATGAGCATCACTGACGCGAAAAAAGTATTGCAATATTTTTACAGCTGTATTCCAGCATATTTCTTTTTTTTTGCATTTCCTAAAGTTTTTCAGAAATACCAATTTACATCAAAGGCAATTGTACCACAGTATTGGTATTTTAGGCTTGTAATCCATGTACCGTGATATGACTATCCGGAAACACGTTTTCGGGTATTACGTGTCAGCCTTGAACAGAAGACAACAGATTACATACAAGTGAATAGTGCTACAAACTGTTTGTGGTGTGTGTATAACCCGCAGGTTCAAATCGCCCCAATTTATTAGGGATAATATCTTGGTGCCTGCTAAGAAATACGTTCAAGTACAAAGATCTAACCAGAATAAGGGATTAGTTGAAAGTTTTATTCTCGATGTTGGCCTGTCTTACCAAAGTCGGGGAGGATATCATGTTAAGAGAATTGCATCTTCTTCTTGCATCATTGCAAACGAAGCCTTAATTATTTCGTCGAGATGTTCCTCAAGCGCTAAGTAAACGCCGTCTGGCACCATTTTTTGAAATTTAACGTTCTATTTCTTAAGCTCGCAGTAAAAAGAAAACAAGGCCAAGTTATCACGGCTGACTTTGTTTTTATGGTATTTAGGACGTCCCATAGACATACTATTCTAACTGATAAAAACACCTACTTCCCTTTTTTTTATGCAAACGCCTCGGAAGGGAGCCTTCCGGTAATATATGAAATATTTTGAAGGTAATCTACGTCTCATTTTACGAAAGATCAGTAGGCGGCATTGAGGGCATTCACACATTCATGAATTCTTGATATTTTAATGCTAACTTTCCTTATCCACAAATATTGCACATTTTTCGTTTTTCTCACAAAAAACAGCACTCTCTCAGCTGGTTTCATTTTTTTTGCGCAGCTTCCGAGAGTTCGACGCAGCAATGGCTCCAATGATGGCAAAGTTCTTGATAGGGCTCAGCCTTCTCACCGCCAACCTACGGGGTGTAAGCTGTCGTTCGTTTCCGAATTTATTCTAGTGATGTCGTCATGAAGACCTGTGCACCTGAAATGAAGGGCATGATTTGACACCGATACCTAGAGATAGAAAAAAAACACCTATTTTTTAAAGCATACGTGCACAGCGAAAAACTACGAGTAGTTACGACGCAAATATAAAAGAAGAGACAAGGACAGAAAGAGCGCTACCTTGTCTCTTTTGTAGTTGCGTCGTAACAACTGATAGTCTTGCGCTGTCAAATATGTTGATTCCTAATCACCAACTAGCCCAAGCATCTGTCTTTTCTTTAAAACAATTTTCAACCAGCGAATATTTTCCTACCTGCGATTAAACCTTTGTCATGTTTCTAAATAAAGATTCGTTGCCTGGTAATAAGTACTATAGTATAATCAATAAAGACAACAAAAAACCAAATCAGCACAAATTTTACTCCAAACTCGTAAAAAAACACCATTATTCTAGATAAAAGGTGAAATTATCAGTGGGTATCCAGTTCTTTGACCAGTCTTAGCCACTACAAAAAAGTTACGGAGTCAGCAAAATTAGACGAAGGCCTCTGCGAGCGCTGACTAGTTGTGTGTTCCACGCTTATCTTCAATTTATCACGAAGAAATGCAGCTCATGAAATCACGAGAGCATTTCAACTCAAATTTCCTGGAATGAAAATAAACGTTATCTAGCAAGTGTGCTTACAGCACTTTCATTGTTATTGGTGCACATTGCTGTCCAATTGAAATATATCTAATAAGGAGAATGTGAGTGGGACTTCTCTCCGAGTAACACAGACACATGACAGATAATTTTCTTTGTATCGAAGAAAATTAAGACCACAGTTCTAACGACGCAGACAGCACGCTTCTCTACATGACGTGGTGATAGTTTCAGTTTAGTTTCAGTTTAGTTTCGTAGTTGGCGCCTTACGGCCAATCTTGCTACTGCCTTAAAAAATAGAAGTTAAATTAAGTTTTTATTCACTCCTATGAATATTATAATGCATTGTAGGCCTTGGTGCTATTTTCATTTTACAGCTGTCTGCGCAAAAGGAAACTCTCAATCCAGAAGGTACAATTTTGCACTCCTTTATTTCCGTATTCTAAGACAAATTCAGTATTACCTGAAAAATAAATGAGCCGCTTCCAAGACTAGAATAGATGAGTTTAACTTGACTTTACAAAAATGACTAACATAGGCACTGGGAAAATGTCAAAATGACGTGCCATTCTTTTCTACGTTTTTGTTCTATCGAATGATTTTTTTTACCATAGATGTGATTATAGTTCGTCGTGTTTTTCTTCTTTCTAGATTTACCTCCAACACTATTTTATGACGATGGGATAGCTGGCTCTCACGTAGCCTTATATTACCATATTTTTTTACACATAAGTAAACAATAACTTCTTGCTTGAGAATGCAAGGAAAATATGAGTGTACTTAGTAATCTCTCTGTAGCTTCATTAAAAAGTCAGAAACTTTCAAAGATCGAAACTCGACACAAATCGCCATCAATTATCTGTTAAAGAGAAAGAACACAAAGCAGAAGCCAAATATTTTAATCAGAAATGACGCCACAGCATGAACGAAGGTGCGCGAAAAAGTAACCTATGGAATCTCTCGCTAAGCTAACAACAAGGTAGTAGTCTTGTAAACTTGAAAACGCCTGCTTTCCTGGCATTATAACTGAAAACTGCATGAGTAATTCGTTTATTTACAGGTTGTGGCACGCCCTCCTACAAATCCATGATTGTCAACGGCACAGAAGTGAAAGAGCTTCAGTATCCTTGGGCGGTACGGCGACCTTTTAAAAAACCTTTCAATAAAAGTGTGCCATGGGTTACCGCGCATTCACTGCTGACTGACGAGTGCTAGCACGCATGAAAAATTGCAGCAGATCCAACGTAGGCCCGTTGAAATCGGCACAGAGCAAAGCACCAATACTTCATCTTTCTCTCCTGATACATGCAAAAACCGGAGCTATCCGAGTCGTCAATGATAGTGCATAAGCTGTTTGCCATTTTATTTGTTTACCGTTTGTTATCCGTATTAATGAAGTCAAATAAGAAGCGTGTCTTGTTTGCCTGCGTGCATTTTCTTGCATTTCTCGCCCCCACCTTTCTGTCCCTCGATAAAAAAAAGACACAGGAGTACCCTCCACAAGCAGTTATTTAATTTTAACACCCATGGTAAATAAGGTGCAAGAAGTCGTTAAAAAAGCTATAACAACCTTAAGGGTGCTCTTAGCGTCACTAAGTCGCGAATAACTACAGTAAGCATACTGCTCATACAAGACCTGAAAGATGACGTGAATGCCTGTTTCGCACATTATTTCCAGGTACTATGTAAAAAGTTGGTGGCCCTTCAACTATCTCTGAGGACAGTACAGGCGCAAGCAAATCTCACGAGACACGCACCAAATTGCTTTAACATTCGCAGCTGATTGCATGGCTTCTCACTTGAAGGAGTGTTGCAAGAACCCCATCACTATGCTGGTATCCACGACATGCACAGTGGGTTATTTATGATACTTTGATTCCATGTCCACTTTGCGTTTCTTTTTCTACTCGCTAGGTGTTTCTGGCCACGTATTTCTACCCAGATTTTTATGCTTGCGGAGGCACCATCATCACAAAGCGCCACGTCCTCACTGCTGCCCACTGCCTTGTGTCGTAAGTGAACCTTGCATAAACTATGGCATTACGCAGCGATATTGACATCTTCAATGACACACCACAGTCGAAACGCGCGTTTCATCAGGAATCGCTTCGTTACGTCGCGTGTGTCACTTTCTATCTGCTTTTCTGTTACACTTGAGGGTGTAGTTGAAGACTTAGTCGGGTACATCTGTGGGATAACTTCGATGAAGTAAATATCAGATCACAAGAACCAATTTTCGTACCGTAGTAGTCCGCCATCGCCGGTGCCCTTAATCACGATCACTCAAAATATAAAAAAGAGAAATAAGTGAAAATGTATTCGCTGGGATAAGACTCGAGCCTGGGTCCTTTCTGAGCATGGTCAGTGCTCTACCACTGAGCTACGCCTGCTTTGTTTTTTTTAGCATGGAATTTACAGCAGTATTATGAACTACGCATAATATCATTATTCAGATCTCAGGCAAACACGCACAAGTGTCCAAAACGGGAAGCAACTCCGCAACGGGGTCGAAAGTCTGCCTAAAACACCGTAGAAAATGACCCAATACAGGCTTCAAGTCGCGTAGGCAATCGCGTTACCATGTATGAGGAAGCATTTTAGAGCAGTAGAGTAACAACCAGGTGTCACACAATGCGAATTGCTTAGCGAGTGCGCTATTAATTGCTCCAACGCATTACGAAAGCCACCGGAATAATTCTTTATTTTCTTGAGTGTCAGATATCCGCAGCATCAATGAAGTGCACAGTATGTCTTACAAGTGTGTAGAAGGTACCATGCTTTTCTAATGAATGGTGAATATTGGCATTGTGAACGATTTCTCACCACATAAAAATTATGATTAATGGCGTAAGGGGTATCATGGAGGATGTAAGATGTTCATGTCGATTGGAGGATCCGGATCGGAAATTATTCCTTGGTAGGAAACTGCCTCCGGAAGAAGAAGGCTACTTCGTTTGGTGGTGGTATTTCGCATTATGCACGATCCTGCACCCGTGAGGTGCTGGATCCCACAGAGAATCCAACTAGCAATACAGGAGGCAATATCTTGATCGGTAATGCTTGTTTCCTCAGTGAGAGCAGAGACCACTTTTCGGGCTGGGGCACACTTCATACCTATGGTACGGACCATGACAGTCCGTGCACGCCTCTGGCTTCCCTTGTACCGGGTGAACTTGCAAACTGTTCTCATGCAGCGAATGGTGTGAGGTGTTAGCCGATGCACAAAGGTGATCAATATAAAGAGGCTCCTGCCCATACTGTGGGATGCGATGATGCCAGCATCTTGGTTTCGGGTCTAGAAGTCCAGTAGCGTCTGCTCTGAAGTTTCTTCCCAGTATACAGAATTGGAAACAGAATACGAAATCGTTTCATTTTCGCGTGAAATTGTTAGGAGTCCTTAGGCGAAAAGCTCCACTATACAGCTTGAATGTGTCTGAAGGTCCTCACATTGCAGCAGTAAACCAGCATGTGAGATGACACCAGGCACAGCGGCGGACAGTGGTGCGACATAGGTGACCAAAGGCTAACTGATATCTTGCAGAACCACTTCCGTGAAACGAAAGGGCAGCGTCAGCTGGAACATCGACCACAGACGCGATAACCCTACCCAGAAAGAGGAAATTGAAAAAAGGGTACAGCCTGTGTTTCTATGCTTTGTTGTTCATCCTCGTACGCACGGAGTATTCTAGCCCATTCGCTAGGTTTACACACAGCTGGGTCGATGTCTTCACCTTCCATTTAGATATCCAAGACTGCTGTGGTTGGGTGCTATGGGAGATAGGGCTAGCCTCTAGAGAAGTGAGACCCAGTATGGGGGGCGGGGAACATTTGCCACGAAGCACTTTCCATCCTTGCTGCTGTTCAGCTTATGTTGGTAAAAAAAAAACCACCACGGTTTCAAGTTCCTCACGTTTAGTAAGCGTTTAATGTGTCAGGTGAGGTACTTCAGCATTGTGTTCATACAAAAACTGGTGTGGCACAGAGCAGATGTGAGCGCGTCTAACTTTTCGAACCCATCTCGCGTCTCTTGTAAGCAGACACTGCTCCCAAACACTCGCCAAAAATACGAAGGGTGGTAACTTAAGCACGTTCATAGGTCGACCGTACGAATAGCACAAGAAGCTTGCACTAGCAAAGTTCAAGTTCAAGTTCAAGTTCAAGTTTATTCATTGCTGAGTACATGAGTACAAAAAAAATGAGCTCACATAATATATACAGCGTCAGGAGGTCCCAAAGTAAGAAACTGTCAGGGGGACCTCCTATCGTTAATGGGGTACATAAAAGGTAAGTAATAGCAGCAAAAGCTACAAGTGCGAACAAAAATAAAAAGTGCATTCAACACAGAACAATAAATAGTCAAATCGAAAAAGTTAATTTACCAGAACAACATTATACAAAACTACAAGAATACGTAAAAGCAGGAATTGAAAACGTAGAGGTAATAATGAAAATGTTTTATTACAAATGAACAACGGGCTCAATTAACAGTATGCTTTTCATGTTATGTTTAAAAGACTGCAATGAATGAGACGACTTAACATGAAGAGGGATATTATTCCAAAGATGAACACAAAAGAAGCGTGCTGTGTATCTGCCATAGTTTGATCTGATTTTAGGTAAAAAGAAGTTATTACGCCCTGAAAACCTGGTATTATTGTTGTTGACGAATATATGGAAAGGAATATTATCAAGTGATATTTCGCGATGAATGAGACGGTATGTGATGAGCGACAATCTATGATAAAGAATAAAGCAACTACAGTGCTGGCATTCGATCCGGGTAAATGCTAGCGCTGTGGCACTTTGTTTTCTCACATTTTTTGTTTGTTTCCCCATTTACGTAATCAATCTTAACAGAAAATATATTTTGCAACTAAATGTACGTGCATTTCTGTTATTCACTTTTTTCAGCGAATTCTTTTTTTTTTACTTTGCTGCAGTAACCACGTGCGCGTGCAGAAAGTCGTTGTTTGGTATGGCAGCGTGGACCGTCGAAACGCAAAGGGTGTCGTGGCGTCGAAGATGTTGATTCACAAGGATTACGTCGAGACAACGGATGTGAACGACATAGCCCTCCTTGAGGTACAGTGAATCTTCCCACATTGTAGTTATTAAGAACTAAACCATGGGGCACAAGTGCGTGTTTCTGCTGCACTTGGCTATTTAGTACAATAACAACAAGCAAATCTATGTAGAAGCCCGAAAAGTTCACATGATTCGTGATTGCGAGAGGGTTAATTTCTACTATATAAGTATTGTACATAGGTCACGGTGCATCCACCTACCCCTAAAAAAACAAAAAGCTAAAGACAGCATTCAGCCCCTGCGGACCGAGCACGGCGTGTTGTTGTGTGGTAGCCATGTGTTGATGATTCTTATTTTCGCCATCGTGTTTTCCTTGTCTCAGAGCATGAATTGATTCAAGTGTCAAATTACAACTTCGCAATGAAATATAATAACTATGACTCAATGTCACGACAGAAATTTCAGTGTCGTATTTTTGTTCATATTTCGTCCACATAAGCTCAATACTATCTTCTGAAACGCCTCGTGTTGATGTTTGGTTCTAATACGATGCATTGTGTTCCGCTTAACCCGTGAAGTGCCATACATGTTCTCAAGATGTTTAAATTTACAATGAGGTGACACGAAAACCCCAGCACTAGCAACAGTAAATGTGTTTCCTATTTGCTCGTTGTTTTCGTTTCCATTCATCGAGCGTACATCAATAAGAGTGTGGGACGTTAGGCGTTACAGATGACTCATTTATTGAAACGAGACATAACGTTTAGAATGAAATCATATATCTTGCAGGAAGTTGGGTAAATGTGGTGGTCGGCCACTAATAACGCCTCCGGGCCAACTCACCTATGCAAAGACGGTATATGCGGGGGATGAGAGATGGCTGGATTTACGGATGCTGTAGATGTACTCTCGCATCCGTGAATGGCGCAACCTGCGCATCGGAGACAGTGAGCATGCGTGCATAGTTGAGCGACTGCAACAGTCGTATAAAACAGAAAAGAGAGGCAGGTGATTGGTTGAGCCGATACTGACGTCGTCGCTCTTTATTACAGCCACGTGCGCCCGCAATAGCTTCTCTTCAACAGTAAAATAGGTAGGCCTCGGTTCACTCATACATTTGAGGAGCAACCTGCTTGCAAATACGTGAACTATTGTTCCGAATGCTTGATTGAATCATCAGGGTGTTACCCAGTAAATGAACACAGCGGCCACATGTTCCTGTTTCAGTGGTTGATTATCTCTATGGAGTGCTTGGGCCGTGATACTTCGTCAGGAAGGAAAATAGGAGGAAAAGAACGGCAGGGAGGTTGACCAGCTTATAGGCAGCTGGTTTGCTACGCTGCTCATGGGAGGTGGATGGGGGAGATGAAAGATAGAGAGGACAGAGGGAAGAGAGATAAACACAGCACATTCGGCCGCACACGCGCACACACACAGTCATAGTCTTGTCTTGTCTTTCGTGGCTTTTGCATTGCTGTTACAGCCGATTGTTCAAGTCCGTGTCGCGTAGGAATTTCAACAGAGCTCTTGTCGCCTTCTGCTGTAATGTCTTCTCTCGGGCACTTGAAAGAATAGTGTCCGCAGACATTTTGCTGTTGTCGATGCGCGCAAGAACGGACGCCAGTGACTGTCTCTAGATGTCATACAACGGACAGTCGCACAGGAGGTGTAGCGTCTATTCGCAACGACTGGCACCGCAGAAAGCGTTGTCGGCCATTTATATGACAAATGAATAATATTTTGTAAATGCCACTCCTAGTCATAAGCGATGAAGAAGGGTGGCTTCTCTTCGGTAGAGCCCAGTGGGCAGGCGGAGAGCAATCAAAGAGGACAAGCGGTGTTGATGATTTGTTTCGTTGCTTGATGGGCACCATAGTGAAAACAAGATTTCACGCGCAAGTCGTCGAAGATTACTGGCAGCATCGGTCCGCAAAAGTGGTATGGCTTCTTCGCGTGTGCCACCAAGAGCTGCCTGCGCGGCAGTATGGGCCTGTTCGTTTCCTATGGCGCCGCAATGACTTGGCAGCCACTGAAACGTCATATGATGCCCTTTCTCATGTGAAGTGCGGAGAAGGCATCGAATTTCAAAAAAAAAAACAAGCTGTTCGTACGGCCCGTGGCGCAGTGCTGAAAGCACAGATTGTAGGGCAGCCCTTGAGTCGCTGAAAATCGACCATTGTTGCGGTGGTCCCCGATTTACCACACAAAGTGCAGCGTGCAAAGCAGCCAGTTCCGTTGCTGTAAATTCCATGGAGTGGTCAGTCCTAAAGCTGGTGGTAACACCTCTTGCTAGGACAACTACTGCACCTGACGAACACTGGTGGTTTGTGGAGCCATCGGTATATATATGTACACTGACTGAATATATCTCGTGCAAAAGAAGGAGAGACAGTTGTTTCAGCACGGGCGATGAAAGCTCAGATTTGTTCCCGATCCCTGATACACTAAGATGCACTGTAGGTGCAATAAGACACCAAGGGGGTATTGATGGTTTAGATGCAGGAGTGAAGCCCGAGGGAAGTTTCTCGTTGTACTTCACAATCATTTTAGCGAACGATGCTTGGTGCCTCTCTGAAGGCAACAGTGCAAGGTGATGACAGGGAGCCCGTGCAAAGTGTATGATGTGCATTCTCAGGACTTCTACAGCAATGTGAGTTTGTATCGGATAGTCGCCAGCAATTACAATCATTGCCTCTGTTGACGTACATCTGGGAAGACTAAGGCACACTCTCAGTGCTTGGGCTCTGCCTGTAGAACACGAGCATTGGTCTTGCATGTATTGCTAAGCATGGGCAAGCTATATCCCAGGAAACCGATAAACAGGGCTCTGTAGAGTTCCATCATTGCATGTACTGACATCCTCCACAATTTTCCTGCCAGGAACTCGAACAATTGGGAAATAGCGGTCAGGCGCTACTTCATATAGGCCACATGCGGACTCCAACAGAGGTCCCTATCAATAATGATGCCCAGAAACCGGTGGGTCCTGGCGTAAGAAATGGGTCGCCCATAGATTGAGATGACATAAGGGATCATTGCTTTGCGAGTGAAGGCCACCAGCGCGCATTTTTCTGGTGATATGCTGAGACCTTGTTTTAACAAGTAGTTGGCAATCATAGTTGCTGCTCTTTGAAGCCGGGAACCTATCTGAGGACGTGTGACTGTCGAAGTCCAGACACAGATGTCGTCTGCGTATATTGAGATCTTAATGATACTTGGCAAGTATTCAGCAAAACCAATTAGTGCAAGATTGAATAGCGTTGGGCTAAGCACTCCGCCTTGAGTAGCACGCCTGGAAGTATAGCGTCACGTAGTTGGGCCATCATCTGCTAACACAAAAAATGGTCTTGCCGCGGTAACTCCAATCCACCGAAAGACTCGACCACCAAGGCCAACCACCGCAAGAGCACCCAAAATGGCTTGATGTAGTATATAATCATACGCGCCTTTCGCATCTAGAAACAAAGCTGTAGATAGTCGCTTACGGGATCTTTCGTGCTGAACGTACGAAACTAGATCAACGAGATTGTCAATGAAAGAACGGTCGCGTCGGAAACCAGCCATAGAATTCGGATAAATGTTGTAGTATTTAAGATACCACTCCAGGGGGCCTAGTATCATCCTTTCCATTACCTTTCCTACACAGCTGGTCAGTGCTATTGGGCGGTATGAGGCGAGTTCAAGTGGGGATTTGCCCTGCTTCAAGATGGGTACCAAGCGGCTTATTTGCCAGTCGTCAGGAACATTGCTATTCTGCCACGAGATGTTGTAAGGGCTCAACAGGCAGGGTAGCTGTTTATGCTTTGGACCAGGCTAGTGTCGTATACAGAAAACTCGACGTGTACTCACCAAGAAAACGGGATGAGCCAATGAAAGATAATATAGACCTTTTGAATGCTTGTAAAGTGTCCTAGTACGTAGAGGTACTAGGACGCTTGTAGCGACGTCGCAATGCGTAGGCCCCACCCATCCCTAAGCTCGCCACCACCCTCTCTGATCACGAGACAACTGGTACAGCAGTCGCTAAGGTACCTGCGAGTACAGGGCGCCAGGGAGCTGCCCACATGTTCCCCGCAGGAGGCTCCCGAGGCACTTTACTTCCAAGTGCCCCAGTAGGACGACTATGCCTAACATTTTTTGCGAACATAGCATAGTTTTTTTGGCAAAGGGGAGGCCAAGAATAGTAAAGGTTAGAAGTGACCTCAAGGTGAGTATAAATGACAAAAAAAGGGAATAGGGTACAGGATGGCATGGCCTTGTATACCATATAGGATGTTAGTCATAGTTCATGGTTTGGAAAAATGGTGCGAGGGTTAGAAGAATGAAAAGGTGAAAGGAAGGGAATAAAGAAAAAGATAAAATATTTACGCGCAGATAAAAGAGCAAAATACCCAATCTGCGTTTGCCAGGGGTAGCGTGTGCTTTCCTAGTAGGGTGTCTACTCGCGTCAAAATTTCTACAGGCACTCGGTGGTCGCAGGCTGTCGTTCCCATGTTGTTCCGCTTGGCGTCACAAGAAAAAACCACCCTTTAATAAGGCAGCTAAAAAACTGTGTTTATAACGGGGAAGAGAAAGGTAACTTTTGATCAATAGGAGTGTTTGAAAGTGAGGAGGAGGACGTGATAGCGCCATGGGCGAGGGAGTCAGCTGTGACTCTATGCTGCCGTTGTATGCTGCTCATGTTGCTTGGCGTCAAGCAGGCAAAACGAAGTATGCTATTGCCACGTGCATAGCAAGTGGGAGTGTATTGGAACTCAGGGTAATGGGGAGTAACGTGCGAATGAGGAGGCAAAAAAGGAGGAGGTCACAAAGTAAAGCATAGCCTAACCATGTGTAGGGTCATGCAGGCAAAATAATCGATGACGAAGTCATGTGCGGTTAAGTATGGTAGTATGGTTAAGTATGGTAGCGGAGAGGGGAAGGCAAGTCATAACATAGGCATATATTGTATGGTAAAGTAAGGCCACGGGAACGAAAAGTCAGGAAGAGGACGGTGGAAAATAAAAAAAAATGGAGGGTCATGCAAAGCATGAGAATGTATGGCATAACGCGAAAAAATCGTGTATATTATAGCCGTGTATAGTATGGCGAAAAAAAGATGTGAGAATACGAAGTGAAGAAGAAGGAAAGAAATGAGAGAGAACGTAAAGCATAGAAAAATGTCGCATGGTGCAACGCAGGGAAATTGTTGCATAGCATAGTTATGTTTTGTGTTATAGTGAGGGTGAAAGAGAGGCAATTAGGAAGGCATTGATGGGAGTGGAGGGGACTGGAAATGATGAAGCCAGAAGGGGAAGCATAACATAGCCAGCAGAGTAAATGTGTAGTACAGAATGGGAAAGGTATCCGTTTTTGAGGAGCAGTGATGGGGAAAAGGGAAGCAAGGAAAAGACGAGGAAAAGGATACACAAAGGCATAACTATGTATAGTAGAGCATAGCAAAAGAGTGGGAAATGAAAAAGGGGTGGAAAAAAGGAAAAGGAATGCGAGAGTGTGAAGCACAACAAAACGCATACAGTACACTAAAGCACAAGGAATGGGAAGAGGGGTGCGGAAGGGTGAAATAAACAAAGAAAGGACACTGAAAAGAGGGTGCCTTACATGTTTTAGTGGAAAGGAGATTCGCGTTGCTTCACTATTTCACCTTGTAGTGGCAAACAATAGGACATTTCAGCCGGGTTAGTGACTTGTAATTGCGGCTGATTGCCAAGTGCATTGAAATTGCAATGACCTATTCAAATAAATGACAATGCAAAAGAAGGCAATAGAAAATAAAAGAAGAAATAAGAAGCGATGCATGAGCTCCAACGTACCATCGGATGGATGTTGTGCGAAACTTGTGGAGGAGAGTGAACTGTGTTCTTTCTAATTATTGATTGAGCGAAACGTTACGTAATGACGCTACAGATAAATACAGTACATATGAAGCGGACACATAGATATGTTGCACAGTCACATATGTATAGGTAACCAGTTGTGCATAGGCGTGTAGAGATGCCAAGAGCAATATGCGTATTGCCAACAATATACATGCTGCACGTGTGCTTCCGAGAATAATAGCCCTTGCTAGTGCTACGTAGACCAACGTAGTGGATGGCATCTAACTATACAGCCAACGCTAAGCCAACGTGACGCCTGTACCATGTGAGTACATATGCAATGTTAATAAAAATATATAGCGCAGCCGCAATGGACGTTTAACCACGATTATTATACCATAGGGCGTTCTTCCAAAGCAGTTTTCACACCTGGCCTAGCTTTGCGGTAGAGTACTTGGTTACCGCGCATAATGCTGGAATTAGGTTTCTGGCGGCACCATGATATTTATTCCTTGCATTCGTGGAATCAACACTCCTGACGTCAGTTTTTATTAACGCTCTCACATTTAAAGTAGCAATGTCTGTTCTCACCGTGTCTGGCTAAACATAAACTGTCAATCACATGTGGTGTGCACCCGCATATACTGCGGCACGTAGTACGCGGGTACGCACCACACACGTTGGAATCAGAGCGTTTGACGACTTACGCAATGGTATTTCCACGTTATTCATGTAATGACCAGACAGACAAATTTGCCAAACACTCCAATGTTACCGTGCTAACTTTGGTGTACCCCAAGTTAAGGAACCCGTCATGAGTGCACCTAAGAGCAGGGGATTAGATGTAGATAGACACATATATAAATAGAAACCCTCTAAGTGTCTGCAGTTCTGTAGGAAATACTTCACACTTATTAACACAGAATAAGCGGCAAGTTTGATCACTAGTACACATTTGCAAGGGCTAAGTATGTGCATGTTACTGCTCTACTGAATGTTGGCAACATGGTCTCATGCAGGTGAAGAACCCATTCTCGTTTGGCAAGGACGTCGCGCCCATCTGTATCCCAATAGGTCCCGTACCGTTCGTCAACAAAGATGCCGTCGTAGCTGGATGGGGATCTCTTTATATCGGTAACGTTACATTGCTCTAAAGAATGCTTAAGATAAGCTCTAAGGGGCATCCAATGAAACCAGCTATTAATTTAGACAAAAAAAAAACATACGGAATATTATGCATTGGTTTTAAGTGTAAGTCAGTGTTTATGAGCTACCTCGAATGTAATTAGCGTTAGGGAATCTTGTTCGCTAAGTTCGTAGGTATTCTAAGTGTACTGCTTGCAGCCAGTACCGTACCGCTCTTTTTGTTTCCTACTTTGAACTTAAAGAGGCCTAGCTGACATCATATAATGCGGTGTCGAGAAACGGAGGCGTTCCCAGCTGTGTACAGCGCCCAAATTCATTCGTTCGTTCATTTGTCCTTCGCAGACGGAGACACCGTAGACTTCCTTCGTCAAACATCAGTCACCATTCTGCCTGACAAAGTATGCACAACGTTATTTGGGAAGTATGGCTTCTCGGACACCCGCCAATGCTGTGCCAACAAACGAAGCAAGGGCGCGTGCAAAGTAAGCCACATTACTTACGACTTATATGCATTTTATACCCCTTAAAGGTAATGCGCACAAACCACCTTAATGAGCCAGAATCTGCGAAGGGTTTTAGGATGGAGCCTCCTATCTCATCTTGATCATTTAGTCAATTAGCATCAGAGATTGTTGTATACAAATGCATTTTAATAACGATTCACTTTCAAAGGCTGGGCGATCTAAATTATTATTAGGAACTGTCCACAGCTCACTATCAATTCACTTACTGGAGGTCATACGGCATCATGACGTCTACTTATACAGCACATGGTTAGTTTCTGAAGCTCAGTTAACTTCCTATACCACTTTTTCTGTATAGGTAGTGGAGTATAGATCTCAGGTAGTGGAGTATAAGTCTCCACTACCTGAGATTCTTCTGTTTTTACCGAAATCATTTAATACTGTACTCAAAAAGTTAAAAGCGTTATTCTTGAATAATTCTAATAATTTCTTCCCTCACAGAAATTTTGAGTACGAGTTCCAGCGAACTCTCAGAGATTGCGATCGATGCTGGACCTCATTCGATTAGTGCCAATAATCTTTTAGATGCGAAGCGTCTTATGATCGCGTTCAATCCGGTGTGCGGCGTGGCCACCCTCAATTCGAGTGCCCTCCTCTCTCGCCTCGCAAGCCAACAGGCAACGCCTGCTGGCCTACTCTCGCCCTGTCTCTCCTCTATGCATCCCTCCCGCCGGCGTTTACTTCCCCATTGCGCATGCGCTCCCCCTCTCCTTTTCTCGTATGTTTCAGCCCTCTTTCGCCGGCCAACTGCGACACAGACAGAGTCTGCTAGCCTACCTTCGCTCCCTCTCTCTTTTCTCTAGGTATCCGTCCTTGTGGCGTTTACACATCCATTAAGCACGCGCGCCTCCTACTCCTTCTCTAATACGCTCTCCACTCTCGCAATGCTGACGCAGGCAGTGCCTGCAAGCGAGTTTCTCCATTGAAAAAACCAACCCGCCACGGTAGTTTAGTGAATAAGGCACTGGGCTGTTGGCCCGCAAGTCGCGGGATGGAATGCTGGCAGTGGCCGTTTCATTTTCGGTGGAGGCGAAAATGTTATAGGCCCGTGGGTTGAGATTTGGGTGCACTCTAAAGAACACCAGGTGGTCGAAATTTCTGGAGCCCTCTACTGCGGCGTCTCTCCTAATCATATGTTAAGTTCGGACGTTACTCCAGAGATATAATAATAATAATAATAATAATAATAATAATAATAATAATAATAATAATAATAATAATAATAATAATAATAATAATAATAATAATAATCGTTATTAATATTATTATTATTAGTAGTAGTAGTAGTAGTAGTAGTAGTAGTAGCAGTAATATTCAAAAATCGACTACTCCTGCTCCACAACCGTTTACTGATCAAGCTGTATAGATAGGCACTGGATGTTCATCTCCAAATAGTGCCGGTCAGGGATTTCTCCCCTGCGTTGGTGAAGAATTAAAAATCGTAACATGCGCGTCAACTGAAACCGTACTGCGGGTATTTGTGTCCAATTAGAATCTTCTGTCTCTCATTGCCCATCAGCAGCAATTCACACGTTTCTGTAGGAAACACCAGGCCATCACTGCGTGCTTTGCGTCTCCTCAAGTTTCTTTTCTGCGTAATGCCGCGATGAGTGCCAGCATCAATGCCACCACCCGTGCAAGCGTTAGCAACCGCTGCTTCGCATTTACACATGGTTCCATTTAGCAAGAGATGGCATAATTTTTGTTTCACATTGCATAGAACCAACCTAACCACGTCTATGACTTGTGCTAGCGGCTGTATTGGGGAGACTTACATGCGCACTGCTCAGACGTTTTCTAACTCAATGCACAGATTCATTTAGAATATCATGAGTTCATTCCTTATACTGTTTATCCAGGAATATCTTCCGTTCTTGGTCAATGCATACAATTATTACCTTGATGCGGCGATGTGGCCAAAAACAATGCCACCTTTGTGTCATAATCCGTGCATCATCGGCCAATATATCATGAACTTGAAATCACCGGTTCACGTAGGTGTTTTTGAGCACACATTGACATGCCGTTTTTTTGGTCCTTTTACTACCACAGCCAAGCCAGCCAAGCTTTGCCTTTCACCACCAAAGCGGCTTCTTCTTTGTCTCCACTCAAGGGCATTGTTTAAACACACACACACACACACACACACACGCACACGCACGCACACACACACACACACACACACACGAGCGCATACACACGCGCACGCACACGCACGCATGTACACGCACACGCACGCATGCACACGCACACACATAAAGACCAAACTGGCCGCCTGTATAAGGCAGATATATATATATATATATATATATATATATATATATATATATATATATATATATATATATATATATATATATATATATATATATATATATATATGCCTCTAACAGGCGGCCAGCTTGGTCTTCGAATCATTCATAGTACCTAAGGAAGAGCTCAAAAGACTGCACTGAAAACTAAACGGCACATAGAATTGCACTCAGAGATGAGTCCCAATGAATTGTTGCAAAACGACCAACGTGGCAGCATCAGTGACACAAAAGTGAAGTGAAGCTTGGTAGGGCAATGCAAGTGCACCAGCTTGGGAAGGTAAATTTTGGCGCTTAAACAGTTAGCCCGGTGCTTGTGACCACTGCCGTCATACCGTACGTCAGAATATTGATTAGTCCTCTCAATTCCCACGTGATGCGCACAGATGAAGGCAAAGCTCTGCTTTTCAACTCCTCAGTCGTAAAAGTATTGCCTTCGTCTGAGTATGAAGGGGGCCGAAATGACAAACGTGTTAGCGGGGGAGCGACCCGCATGCTGCACCGCACTGATAGCACAGCAAAGTGTCATAGGCACATCCTAGCAAGGTAAACTTAAATGTTTAGAGGTTTCGTCCTTTGCCTATCATCGCTACCGCAATTTTTTATGATCTAAACCAAAGTATTATTGAAGATTTCACTTTATGTTCTTTTTCTTTTTCTCTGCATTGTCTCGTTCCGTAATCATACTTCTTCCTGTCTGTTCTCATCCTTTCCGGTCTACTCTCCATCACATTTTTCATCCTCAAGCTCACTTCCCGTTCTTACCACATGCTACACTATAGAAGGTTATACTGATGTCTGCAAGCATGCATGAATATCGCCATGTCATTTGGACGCTAGCCTTCAGATCGAGAGTACGCGGGTTCAAATCCCACTTTTAATAAATATTTTGCGCAAGAACGTTTTTCTTTCTTATATTTTTTCTTTCCGTCTGTATGTCCGTTTCTCTCTTTCTTTCTCTGCAGAGAAACAAAGAGAGAAACGCTCGTTATCTATTCCGTCAGGTTTATATTAGCCCACGCTGTGAAGATGTGTAGGGGAATGCACTGAAATTTTCTGGCATAACCTGGCCATAATTATGATGGCGGCAAGGTCAACAGTTTGCGGCTGGCTTAAACTGCTTCGCTGTTAATGATGACGTGATAAAGGCATTCGAAATGTAGGTCACATGTGGTGTATGATCACGTCTAAGGATGGTAATGGATTGAATTGGGACGTTAAACTCCACATATCAATCAAGGTAATTGCTTGCATCACTACAAGGTCCCGCCTCTACCGACAGTGAATCTTAGTGTTTGATAATACCTCGAAGGCTTCCGCCTGCATACACTTCGCTAATTTTTTAACATCCAGGGTGACTCGGGTGGACCACTGATGGTTCGGAACAAAGCTGGCCGCTTCCAGCAAGTGGGCATCGTCTCGTACTTGATGGGCACTTGTGGCGGAGACTACAATCCGCAGGTGTACACACGAGTTACCAGTTACTCTGACTGGCTAACTAGGGGAGTTTCTTCAAGCAACGGCTACACGTACATCGGCAGCCCAAAGGTGGACATGCTGAAACCACCTTTCTTTATCGCATGACGAAAACTCGAGGCAGAAACACACCCAATGCACCGGGTGTTGTGAGTCTGGCCTAATAAACAGTAACTTCAATGACTTTGCTTCCCCTTACGGTTGTCACAGTACCTGTGGCCCTCACCACGGGTGTGTTCTTGAGTGATGGATGCCAACGCTGTTTGCTTGCACACTGCATGCGCCTCGGCTTTAGACCAATGCTGAGTCTTGCTACATACTACGTTACGTGAGTCTAGAAAAGTCAGAAAGATCAAATGAATTAGCCCATTTACTTGCTCGTAGTTTGAAAGAATTTCAGCGGAGCCTGCAGTCCAGAGTATATGCAGTGCCAGCTCATGTGAATCCTGCTGAAAGGACAAAGTGGACTTCTTGGTTACTGCTTTACAGACACACTGCCCTGTGAACTGGTGTGGCATTGCTTCTGGCTCGTGAAATTTAAATTTTTTTCGAGTCTATACCATAAGGCGTGATAATGGCGGGGAGCGATACCGCATTACAAAGTGAGAGGCTGAAAACATGTTACTTTGAATGGGTCTCCGGTTGAGTGTTCGTCGTTTTGCCAAGGCGTCTGAAATGTAGTACACCTTAGTTATTCACGTAGGTGTTTCGGGAGGTGAATGTGTGTTTGTTGGAGAATTACCGAGATTTTTAGAAACCTGTGCACCAAGTGGCCCGTGCATCTTATTTATCTTTCAAGCTTGTTTATTTCAGCATTTACTTCCTGTTTTTCTATGAAAAGGTTCCAGATTTGCCGTAAGGGCGAAATATTCATCGCGGTAGCAACAACTTGCAATGTTATACGAAGGACGACTTGCGGGTCCGCTCTCATGTATTTATAGAATTTATGAGTGATATTTCTTGAATAACGGCTTTAGGACAAATGTGAAGCAAAATTGAGGAAAGTCACAGCGACGTAGGTCGGCCAGCTACCCCACTTGTCGACTCACGCTGACTTAGATCAATCCGTCAGAGTGAGTCTATGTGAGTGATACTTCGGTAAGTTTCAATCCTTGTGAGCCGGGTTTTGAAAGTTTCAGCGACTACTTGTCCGACAAAGCCTAGTGAGGAATATATTATTGAGTCTGTGCCAAAGTGAGCCCTAGGTGCAAAATATAAATCCAGAATCAGCCTGTACGACCGTCGTATTTTATGTCGAACTGTAGTCCTGTGTCTTTTGAGCACTAGTATCATTATATCCTCTCACATTCATGTTCATGTCCAGTAACACATATTTGAATGCGCAAGCGTTCATACGCCAGGTCAGTATTTAAGAATCAAAGGTGTGACATAGGGACGAGGGGGCATGGGCCAAGACTGCACGAATTTTGAAACCACCCGCACGAAATATTTGGCCGCATACCTGCGTGCTTCGTTTCACAAGTCGTCCAAAGTTCTCTGCTGTCCATGCAACATTAGTTCTGGTCTCATTCACGCACAGTTATGCTTTGCCTTGATGACAGCGCCTCATCTATGTTCAATCAGCCACGTTTTGCTGGCATTGATGAAATAGAGGAAGCGCTGTGGTAGATATAGACGCCATGTGGCAGTACGGTCCGGAAACATAATATCGTGCACAACCCAGGGCCACTGCCAGGTCGCAGCGCGATATCATCAGCAGGGGGCTTTATTCGTGCATAGCATCGCATTTTCAGCGCAGCCTAAGAAGCACTGGGGTCTTTAGAATTCCTTATCCATATATTTTGCAATAAAAACACATCCGTGAATGCTTACGTATTGACGTTGCGTCTCAGATTTGCATATTTCTTTCGGATTGACAATGTTCACAAGTATGAACGCAATCACCACCTTGAAACTGCTGGGCATTCAGCTACTGCCTAAATTTAGCTGGGTGGCTCAATCATAACAGACAGGCCGAGATAAATATATATGCGTTCATGTATCCAAAAAAATAACTCTATCCTCTTTAGTACTCGGCATGTTTCAAGTGTCCAAAACTAGGCCACTTGACAGAAAGCTGCCTTGAAAGCAAGAAACCGGGCAACATGCCTGACTTTCTTGTGAACCTCGTTTCTGAGACAGATGAAACGGAAGCAGCGGAACTAGTCATTGACATATTCACAGTCAGCAAGCAGCATAGCAAAAAACAGTCATGAAGCCGTTTAACAGAACATTACTCTGGGATAGCTAACCACTGCTATGCAAACTGTCACTGCGTTTCCTGTCTGCATAATTTTGTAATGCGCATACCGCATTCATGTCAACCAGAGGTCAAGTTACAAAAATCTAGGAAAGAACTTCGGTGATACCTGGGTCAGTTGTCTGTATGTGGAGTAGTGAAGATGATAATTGAGCAGGACAGTTGAACAAGGTTGAAAAATAGCAGCCAATGTTCAGAACTAGTACTTTGTGATTAGGGTGCGATTCTTGAACTGAAACTCATGTACGACAGTCAAGTAGCAGATGTCCTAGGCTCTACGGAAGATATGTCTGCGACCTCAACAAAACAAACTACAGACTTTGAAGAATAGTTCCAGCTAGGTACAAGTATGACGAGAGAGCTACCAGTCAGCGTCACCCTTAAGCAAATGCTGCATCATTCCTAAAAGCTCACCGACTCCCATATGCACTCTACACTAAAGTTGCGGCCAAACTGGAACGTATTTGCCAACAATACATGTTTACTCCCGTTAGTCACAGCAAGTGCGCAAAGCCTACTATCGCACTTGTGAAGCGAGAAAGCACTACGACAAGCTATGAACACTTAAATATCTCAGTCAACCTCGCCTGTTACGTTGACCGAAATTCCTTTCCAAGATTGACCATACGCCAGCCACCCATCACCTAACAATTCTACGAGCGAATGCTACAATACTCGCCGGAATAGCAGACGCCAGCTGTACGTAGCTGCTATATAACCTGATAAAGCACAAACAAGGTTGGATGTTAGACACAAGGTTAACCCTTGCCAGCAGTTAGTGAGGAATTAAATAAAAGAATCAAGTTCACAAGAAACATTTCAAGTCTTACGGGAAAGTAAAAGTGTAAGACAAAGGAAAAGACGACTAACAGCATTTCTTGGGTGGGTGAGCACAGTGGCGGCGTTTACGTGAAGCCTGGCAGAAGGAGTGTGTTGCCTCTGCGTGCCAAAGGCTCCTAAAGAGACAAGCACCAGGGGGGGTGTGTCCTAAAGAGACAAACACCCCCGTATAGCCTTTTTCACGTACTCGACCTACCCACGCACGGCTAGACGCTGATATACGTTGAAACTCGCCCTTTGGCTCAGGTCTGCAGTAACGCCGCTCACCAAGTGCGTTCTTGCGCCGACACACCTGTGGAAGACAATGTAGGTTGAAATAATGCCATACACTTCTTACCGAAAACGAACAATAAAATGTGTATGCTAAAATTCTCTTAGCCAAGGAGGTTGATTGCAGAGGGAAAATAAGCATACTTCATCCGCAGTTCTGTTTTATTGAACAACATTGAAGTAACGGGTCAATTTGTGCTGCAATTTTTTCTTTTGAATATCAACGAGTACACTCTTCTTAAAAGGTTACTGTCATATTCACTAAGGGAATACTCTTAAAGGGCCACTCACCAGGTTTGACAATTTTTAGCTGACAAGCGCAATGCGTAGACAAGGCGTTCATGATCACGTCTGCCAAACTTTGCAACGCTTCGCGCCGCGGAAATGGGTCAAATTTTAAGATGAAAGCTGTTTCCCCTTCCCTCCTGCCGGCGCACGCGTAGAGAATGAGGGCATGACGTAGGCGTAGGAATGGCCCTACGTACACGGCAATGCAGTGACGTTGGTCCTCTACGTAGACGAGTCGGCGCTGACATTGTCAACAGTATACCACGTGGCATGGCAAAAAATATTTAACACAACATGCTTAGTTTATGTATTTGTTGCTTTAAGAGAATAATAAAACTTGAAATAAATAATGAGACGCAATAAAAATTTGTGCGCGTTTTCTTTTATTTTTTCCCGCGAAATGCTATGAGATGCAGGGCTAACGTGCCAACGTTTCGCATGCGTTCATGTCCCCGTGGGCAGCACATTGAGTAGACGACCGCCGTGGAACGCTCCTACGCGTTCGCGCACTCATTGTGCTCATCTACTCTACCGCGTCTAAGCCAGAGTTTCCAAACCATCCCGCAGGAACAGGCAGAAGACCACAAAATAACGTTGGTCAAGAAAGCAATGCTGCTCGCGTGCTCGTGGGCTGGACTTGTTTGGGCGCGTCATGCCACGTCACCTCATGGTCGGATGCCGGAGAAGGTGGGGAAGAAATTTGGCTTGCGAAGACTACGCGGAGGAGCGGCAAGGGTTTCGAGCTCGCCCCCTCTCATCCTTGTTTCGCGCCGCTTCAAAAAACCTGTTTTCTCCACTTGTGATGAACCGACTCGAAAAATTTTTGTGGCAAATTTTCGTCATCGGACACTCAACAACTTACACTGTCTAACTGAAATTCGGTATGGGGCCTGTTGAGTGGCCCTTTACAGGAGCTTTCTCAGATATGATTGTAAACCCCACGAATCTGCCATACACATATGCCATCACCATATATAGATAAGCAACTTTGTCATACATACATCAAGACACAACATTTCTTAATTTACAATTAAAGGCATTTTGTGCATTTTGATAGGCTAAAAACATTTTTTATGCACCAGAGATGTTCTTTTGCAAAGTACAAGAAAGCCGTTGCTCCATGAGCTCACAGACTCGGCCCGAGCTGCAGCAGCGTTGCCAGCCCGCCACGCAGCTCTTTTAGCTCGTGAGTTGTAAATGCGGCCGACCGGTGACCAAGTGTGCTAAGTGCGTGAGCTCCCAGCAAAGAGAAAGGAAGCGGATGGGCCGAGAGTAGTGTGAGCTAACATCAGCGACGTCGTGCCATTGAGTGAGCATTTTTTAAGCAGCGCTTTGAAAAGTGCCGTGCATTCGTGCATGGTCAGACCAAACACCGCTGACACCCCCTTCTTCTTTTTCGTATTCCTTTCTGTTCCACACCACCCATCCGCAGTGTGACGTTGTTGAGGTGACCTCAGATAGAGACATTTACCACGACACACTTTTTACACGCAAAGCAGTTCTTTGACTAGCCTGTATAACACTGTCCCTCCGTCCGCACAGCTCCCCTTGTTGCAGGTGTTGGAGTGGTGCCAAGTAGCTCATGCTCTCACAGGAGTGTGCGGTGGCATCTCTGTCCCTCACCTGCCGCACCCTCGTCACGTGTCAACTCTTCCTCGCATGACCTTCTCCACCGCTCGCAACGCTCGAGTCCACTCCTCACGTGGGCATCACCTCCCCCACGCCATATCTCTCCATCTTTCAGGGAGAAGGAGCCATGAGTTGGTGGGTGCGCGCTCTGGGCGCTCTTTGAGGTTCTCGTGGTGCCGATAATAGGCACAGCGCGCCGCTGCTTGCCGCGAAATTGCGCCAACGGGCGGGACGCCGTCGTGGCATGCTTCTCGCTAGTGTGCGCGTACCTATCCCGGCTGTCGCTACCTTTTGCGAGGGATGCGTTCTTGAATGGTGACATCAACACCGACGATGCGCAAGCCAGGGAAGCCGAACGAAAGCGTCGGCAGTGGACGACCATGCGACACCGACGAGGTGCGAGTCAAGAACACCGATCGCGTTCAAGAATGCGGACGGCGCGCGGCTAACGCCGACGAGACGTGAGCCAAGGAAGCCGAGCGTAAGCGGCTTCAACGCGTCCCGCCTCCTATATGAGCATTTCAAACAAACATTCACTCGAGTAAACGCTACATCGAGTTTTGCTTCAAACCGTTCTTCCAGGCACCACTTCGACGCCCGTTTCAACCGGATCAACGCCGTGCGCAGCGCTGCTGCTTCGCATTTCATCCGGGTTCCCTTCGGGGAGATGGTCCATAGCTTTTGTTCACTTCCCTTTCTTTCCAAATCCACTTCGAAGAGGCGAGCGCACGGGTCATCGAAAACCGAGGCATTACATAGTTGCCGTATATGCCACCTTTAGGAAGTAGAATTGCACATTTGTTTTCCAACCTCACCAACTGAATGCATTTTACATGCTGACGACACAACTATTGTGCTTCCAAGTAATTCATGAAGTCACCTTATAGCAATCCTTAATGTTGAAATTCTTAACGTTAGTGCATGGTGAACTCAAAATAAGCTTTTGATAAATCCTTCAAAAACTAGGTTCTTAATTTTCACTTCTAGGTCATACATAATTCCCACGTTACACCACTTTATCGACTCGTACCCCATCCACCTATCATATCCTTGTTCTTTCCTTGTAATTCAGCTGAATTCCCGGTTGAGATTTAACTTACATATTCAAAAACTGCAGTGGAAAATATCCTATAGTATTTGGGTATTATTAAAAGCTATGTGGTAATTTGATGTGACATCTCTGATCACTCTGTATTACGCATTCATTCCCAGTCATAATAAATATTTCATTGCTTCGGGGGCCCAACATATTGTCATTTCTCTTTTTCCAACATGTACAAAATCAAGCTATTCACATTTTCGCCGTGGAGCTGGCGACGCTCTCATGTTACTGATTTGTATCGGAAACTAAAAATACTAAATATTAACAACCTCAACAATTGCAATGTCTACACTTTCGCTTATGAAGTAGTTGAGGACTCCAGCCTTCGAAAATTTTTTCTCATTCAAGGCTTTTCTAATTTGCACATTACCCCATTTTTCCTCAAACAACTTTTTACTTCCCAAGGTGCAAGCTAACTATGGTTCTCAAAGACTAGATTTTTTTTCATACTCTTGAATTTTTTGCAGTATAATGTTAAGTGTGCATTTTCTGTTTTGTCATTCAAACATCAGCTTCGAAAATAATGTTTCATGAATAGCATTATTCATTCATTATTCTTTAAACACATCTAACAATTTCGCTGCGATTAGTGTCTGGTTCTAATATACTAGAGGTCCTGCTCCCGGTATTTTTCTGTTTTAAATTGTATAACTCTTAGAATCTCCATTGTTTAGATTTTTATACTATTTACTGAAAATATTATGCTGCACCCGTTTTGCTGTTAAGTAATATTTTCTTTCACTGTGGAGAAGCCATTGCACAGGCTTCACAACCGAAACCGGTTGCCGTATACCTGGAATTCTTGAAGTGGCCCTCGTGTTCTCTGTTGCGTTTCAGCTATGAACTGATGTTTTTATTCGTCATAAATTCATGTTCCTAAGCTTCATCAGCAAATTATTTGCGTGGATTCAGCACTATTTTTGAAAAAGAACTGAAATAATTAGTGCTGTAGGCTCAGTAGGGCACTTTTCGAATTTCCAAGGACCGATATTTTGTGCTTGTTAGATGTCACTTATCTTACACAGCAGGCGCCGCTTGACCATTCAGCAGTCGTGGGGCATGTTATTCAGCGCTACTCTACCCTTTACGCTTTGAGTTACCGGAGAGAACAAAAAATACTTTTGAACTCTTGTGTCACAGGACCTAAAGCAGGTATTTGCTCTTTCTTTGGCGGCCATTGGCACAGCAGACACGTCGATTGGCGATCTTCAACACTCTTCGTCGATCGGCAACAGGTTTAACCACGCCGTCTGCGAAAACAGAGCACAGCTTCAGCCCATAGACACGGTTGCTAACCAGGCAAGATGACATACCTAAGTGTAACTATAGACGTCAGACTCTGCCCAGGTGGCGCTGCGAAAATCGCCACCACCAGCGCCCCCATTGCCGCGCTGGCCATAACTGGGTAGTGCAGAGAGCCATTCGCAAGTGAACGTGCATAGGCCCCCTTCTTTCGTAGCTGCTGAGGCGTGATTTTCTGTTAATCAAGGACCTGAAAAGCTTTCTAACGTCATTCCAACGTCGCTCCAGAAAAGTAGGAAGCTCATCAAAGTTAGCTATGAGTACATCGCCTAAAATTTTTCAGTTTATTTGGGCGTGCTGCAACTGGCAACTTAGGTGTAAGCTATTGTGGCATGACATCGAGATTGAGACAAACACTCACTCCGACGTGTGTTCTGTAACGCCTAGCTCCACCACGGTGATCTAGTGCCTAAGATAACCCTCAGGTACCGGTATTGAATCCCGGCTGCGGAGACTGCATTTGCCACTAGACCACCGTGGTGGGGCAAAATGATAAACTGTCGACTTGTACATTTTCTTGAAACAAACAATCTGTTCGACTCATTTCAGTGCGGGTTTCGAGGGGGTAGATCCATCACCGACTACCTGGTACGTATTCAGGCACACATCCAGGACGTTTTCGTCTACAAACAATACTTTCTGTCTTCCACGATATATAAAAGGCCTACGATGCGACATGGTGATTCTGAATATCAGCTTTTTACTGACAGATGTCATGAATTCACGACATACCAAAAAACTTTGGGCAATTAAGTCGCAAAATGCGTTCCACCTTTAATGCCAGCCGTCAAGTACTCACGGAGCATGTAGCATTCAGCCTGAAGAATTCAGCGCTGTCTCGTCTAAGGTACTTTAAGTCTGAGTATTTTAAGCCATGCCGTGAAAATCTATGACGTGAAGTGTTTGGTAGGGAAATATCAAAATGGCGAGGCCATCCGCAAATATTTCTCGTTTTCTGCTTATTATGCATCCTCTCGTAGAAAGGGTGGGGTGGCTGAAAATGCGGCAGAATAGGGCAATCATACGCGAATAGTCGTTTTCCACATTTATGTGCAATAATATGAAAACTAGGCTCCCTGCCGCTGAAAAAAACATTCTTTGCGCAGTGAATGCGTGCGAACCTATATATGAGTCAAACCGACATAGCATAACTTTTTCAAGAGTGCATTGTCTTGATTGACTTCGTGGGACATGTGCTACGTCCACTTCAATTCATATGTCAGTATGATTTTTCTTTGCCTCAAAGTTTGCACGAACAAAGGAGGTCCCCAGTGGTGCGCTTAAGAATGAAATTCTACGTAGGATCTGCCTAACAGTTTTTCCGCTTGTCAAACCACACGAAATCTGCCATACGACAGCGTCGCAATGTTTAAGTCAGCATGCCTCAACGCCAGCATACCGAAACAGCTTTTCATGAGTCTAAGGTTAACCTCTCTACCTTTTTCCTTCTTGTTTCTTTCTTTAACTTGCATCTCTTAAACGGGTGAAAGAGCTGTCATACTGAAAATCTCGTCTCAGTGGAGTTGGCTTTCTATTTCATACGTTACACCAATCATAGACAAAGCAGGTCAAACAGCCTGTCTATTGTACATAGACGCGTGTCACCTTTTGTTATATGTGCATATAAGAATTCAGTAGCCAAGGAACAACTTTGAGGAAGGCTCTTTCGCTTGTTCTCCGCCATCCCCTCATCTGCATCAAAGAACAAAGACTGAGCTCGGTACAAGCTTTTTACAGAACGTAAGTAATTCTTGTTATGTCCTGTGTGCTTACGCGCATTGAATTTTTTCAGGGCAATAAATGCTTGAATGCATTTCATAGGAAATGCGTTCTCTTGTGCTGCCCATTTGCTGTTACACTGGCCAACAGACGTTTGTGCAAGTGAATGAAGCCATTGCTTCGGCAAGGACGAAAGAAATAAAGCCTTAAGTTTCAGTTCCATGTCTGTTAATCAAACATTATACGACAAACATTTTCTAGAACAAGCACAGGCTTTATCTTAAACACTCGACACATTCACAGAGGAGAGAACTCCGCGCTTTTGAAGAAAACTCGTAGCGTGAAAGGAAACAGAACGACACAAGATCGCAAGACTGGTGTTATTGTATCTTTTTCATACATTTTTGCGCCATGACTGCTCCTTGAAAGTAGTGAATCAAATCGTCGAGCATTTCGATTGGAGATCGACCTTCGGGGCGTCGGTTTCGATTTCACAAACTAAATTGGCCAGAACTCGCCACTCCATTGGTGGCCTTTCCAAAATTTTAAAGTGGCTGGGAACTATTTGTAGGAAGTACTTTAATTCGCAGAATGAACTCGATCGGCCATTTCTACTGGTTAAAAAGTTCATTGTTTTCTTTATGTTAATACTGCCGTAAATATTGTTTGCACGCATCTGAAGGTGCCTCTGCAGGTGCCTCCTTTCTATGATTTTCAAATATATTGGACATATCTCTTGAAACGACCTATCTCTCTCTTTATGTATGTATGTATGTGTATATATATATATATATATATATATATATATATATATATATATATATATATATATATATATATATATATATACAATAGAAAGAAGTTTTTCCAATGGGCCAAGCGTACTTGGGAAGAGATGAGACACAACTTAGCGGTTGTCTTGACTTTATTCGAACGGTTTCGACCGGCGGACCGGTTGAAACTGTTTAGTCGAATCATGTCAATATATATATATATATATATATATATATATATATATATATATATATATATATATATATATATATATATATATATATATATATATATATATATATTATCTGGGCAAGAATAGTATTGTTTATACTGCATTGATGAGCCGACATCTGGAGTTGCACGCCAAGCGATAAAATATTTCTGGCAATATCATTAGGAATGGCTATCTATCTATCTATCTATCTATCTATCTATCTATCTATCTATCTATCTATCTATCTATCGGTCTGTCTGTCAAAGATCTGGGCAAAAAGAGCATTTGCCCCTAAAATGGGAGCATAGAAGTCGATTCTTAGAGCGTCCGGACATTCAGGGTAACAAACTGCACGGAAAATGTCATGCAGCGAAGCTAGGTTTAACTGCGGAAAGTATCAAGAAGCGGTGCTTGTGCCTCTCTTCAGGTGCCAGGAATGCGATAACTTTCGATGTCGAGCTTTCGGTATTCAGAGATATGTCGCATTTTTTTCTCGTGCTAACATAAATTCCAATGTCTCGGGCAGTTTTACTTTTATGCGCAGCTTCGAGAGAGTTAGAACCATCCCTCCAATAATGGTGAAATTCCTAGCAGGGATCAGCCTGCTCCTCATCACACTCGAGGGGGTAAGTCATGCTTTTGTTTGCGATTTTCTTGCTTGTGATTTGCCTGTGATGCGCACTTGACAACGTCATGTGCTCAAGGATATCAAAGCGCAAATTGTCCCCGAGTTCTGACCACTGACCATGCGCTACCTTGTTGACCTTGCTATGACCACCGCAGAAAATATCTATTTCCTCAATGTCGTGTGAAAACATATGCATACTCTTTTTTCCCTAGAACAATAAAAGACTGGAATGTATTACCCGATGCTATACGTGATTCTCAAACTGCAGAACATTTTGAAAACAATGTTACGAAATATTTTCTAGGTGAATCTTCGTAAACGGTGATTGCTGTTTTTGGTGTGTGTGCCTGTCATCTTTTGACTAAGGATCTATTTGCTGTAACTTGTCTCATGTACGTTGTAGGATGTAATATTGGGAAGTGTATTTTGTGATGTATGTGATGTAGCATGTAAGTCGTAGAACGTAGTATAGTGATGTGTTCCTTTTGTATCTGCTATGCATTTCTTTTTTACGCATGACATCACGGTTGTTATGTCAGTTTTCTACCCCACCCCTGTAACGGCCCAATCAGCCAACAGTACCTGGAAATAAATAAAAATAAAAAATAAATATAATGTCTGACAAGAAACTGTAATGTACACATTTCCATTCAAGTTGAGAGATGACAATTGCACGTTCTTCTCCTCTTCATCACCAGCCATTGTGACCTTGACGAACAAAGTCCATGTTGAGTGAATCTATCCGCAATTGTGGCCACACAAAGCACTGGACATGGTCGCAGCGAGCACTTATACGCGAACTTCTCAATGTTATCTCTAGGCCTAACCTTATGTCTGCCCCCTCACGTGATTTGTTTATTGAAATAAGGCGTCTCGCTTGTAATGACATGCATTCATCTTGCCTAAATAAGCAGAAAGAGTGTAACTATTTGCCTAGACAAGAAAAAAATAAATGATAGGCGATCACAACACATATAGGGTCAATATTATTTGCAATCTGCTGCTGTCCAACTTTGAGCAACTTGAGTAAACTTAGTGGTCTAAATGAGATCACGTACATCTTCAAGAACCTATCGACTAAGTATTTTGAAGCTTATATTAGGCTTATCGCCAAAGGAACAAATAGTACTGATTGTTCAAGTTTGGCATTCTTAAAGTGTAATTCGCTCGAGTGAAGATGAACATTGTTTATTAGTGTAGCAGATAGAGTGCCTTATTATTGTTACCCTCCTGTTTTACCGCTGAAAGATGTCTAATAACAGGAATTCAAATGAAAACTGTTTCTGGCTGACACCTGCACTAGGCCATCATCTTTAATTGAAAAAATAACAAACGCCAGAGATGTAACGACACAGTGAATAGCTTTATGCGAATACGATTCTAATATCAAGCCCGGGACTTAGGTAGTGCCAGGCACATCTTTTTCTCAAATGACGGTTCAAACAGTAACGACTAAGAGCTTCACATATTATGCGACAATTGACAAGTCTCTCTGGCAAGTGCTTTCAGTCTCTTAGAGGTTGTGGCTGTTTTAAGAAGCTGTGAAAAGGAAAAAAAAAACTACTTTATTCAGGCATTTAGTTAACCTTTATAGTGAACGCTACTTTGTGGATGGTACATTACGGACAGTTTTGCTTCCGGTTCTTGAAATACAATGTATTTGAATATCTATTCGCAGCTATGAATATACACAAACATTAACAACCCTGCCATCTTTATCTCTTTCCAGCTGTCTGCGCAGATGAACGGTATTAATCGCGAAGGTAAGTTTTTATGGTCTATCGTTTGTGTATTTAAAGAGAAAGGGAGAGAAATAATCGTTTATTTAGAAACAATGTTCCGAGCGAGACCCGCTATCACCCTAGGTGCAAGGGTTCCCTAGTTCAAGAACCCTGTGGCTTTGACTGCCCTTTTGGTCCTGGAGACGAGTTGTCGCTGGTCTTCCAGGTCTCCGAGGACGAGCTTGGCCTCTCACATTTCCATTATGGAAATCACTTAAATACGTTGAAAGTGATGTCCAATTTCCAAAATAGATATAAGGTTCTTTCATTCGGTCTTACCTCAACCAAGTATGCGTCGTAGAAAGACTGATGTGCCAGGCCATACGTTTTCTTTATTATATATCAGTCTAACCCCCGTATTCTAGAACGTCCCTTCACTCAACGCTTCACCTTCACTTGAGAAAGCCGATGGCAGCGCCGTCTCTAGGCACGGAAAATCACTGCATATCAGCGATCATCTACTGCGATTCTTGAATAGCGCAGGGTCATTTTGAGCCGAGCTGTGGCGTAGTGCTCAACTCAGTCAAGTGAAGGGTGAAAGTCGAGTCGAGGAGCGTTTTTGAATACGGGGTATTAGTATTTTCTCTTGGTATTATCATATTGTTGCTTGCTTTTTTTTATTTTTCGCACCTTTTCAACAATAATTTCATGGTGATCCAGCTTCAATGCAGCCTGCATTCTCAAGTTTTTTTCTTAAATATAAGCGAAAAAAGAAAACAAATCAATAATTTGTGCACTAAGCCGAGTAAGGCTTCAAAATCAAAGGTGGAAGACATCTAAAGACTGATTCGTTTACTACTAGGTTTCTTATAGCCCTGAGATGGGTGATCCAGGTTCCTTCTAGATTGGCTATAGATCCCCGCTAGGTGTACGCTAGGTAATGCTAAGTTGTTTTTACGTCAATTCTCAGCCTATAGTGGTTATTGCTAAGCCCAGGGAGGCACAAGCACGACAGAAATGCCAAAATAGCACAGTGAGAACCTCGAGCGGAAAAAAGCATTCAGACTTCTCATAGATCAACGTGGTCTGATTATATCAGTTGTAGCGAGGCAGAACTTGGTTCAATCTATATGTTGTTGGTGGAGTGAGCCGGCAGCTCGATAACTTTTACGGCATGAATTCTTTTTGTCCGCCCGTTTTATTTTAACAGATTTTTTTTTGTTTGCCATAGATAAGAACTGAGCAGTGGTATTTAGGCAATTTATGTGGCAAACGCTTGTATTTGGTGATTATGCCCACATAGTTCTTTGATGACGATAGGTTTCTTCAATTTTAGTGAACCAGTGGACAGTATCGGGATTAGGTACCCCATTTTTTGCAGAACATTATCATTTAGGATGAATATAGTTTCCGCGTAGGCCACAGAGCACTAATTGCACGGTGTACAAATAACGGCTAACGTTAACCACACTGCTGTAAATATATCCTGCATCGTAAAGTAATTAAAATATTGTTTCCTTTGCTACTATGGTGATAATTTTATTATTAAGTCTGCCACTTTAAAGCTTTAAACTCTCGACAACTTTTCATTGCTTATCTGTACAAACAAAAAAATAATATAAGAAAGAAAGACATGCAGCACTGAATATGTCCCAGCGGTCTTAAAATCGCATGGAGCAATGCATGTCTTGGGGAAGCTTATAGGCAAATCTAACACCGCTCATCTTGCAAACTTGGAAATGCTTGTTCTCCAAACATCATTACTCAACAACGCACCGGTAATTCATTTTTACAGGCTGCGGCGTGTCCTTTTTCCGGACCATGATAGTGAATGGTACAGAAGTCAAAGAAACTCAGTATCCATGGATGGTATGGTAACCATTAAAAATATTTCAATGTACATGCGTAGCGGATTAGTGCATGGCCACGAATGACTTCGCAAATGCTAGCATACATAAAAAATCATGTCCGCGCACTGCATGATGATGAGTGGGGCGAAGCGTCTGTCCATCCGTGCGTCCGTTCGTATGTGCGACCGTCCATGCGTCCATCCATCCGTTCGTACGTCTGTTCGTGCGTCTGTCAGTGAATCCATCCGTGCGTCCGTCTGTCTGCGCATCCATCCATGCGTCCGTCCCTGCGCTCATTCGTGTGTCCGTCCGTGCACCCGTCCATCCGTGCGTACATCCGTCCGTCCATCCATTCGTGCGTCCTTCCATGCATTCATTCGTCCGTCTATCTGGTAAACACTCCAAGTACCACCATCTCGCCTTTTTTTTCAGCATCCAGCAGACAATGCAAGGACTAAAAGGTGGCACTCGCGCACTTTCTTACGGCCTGCGCTTCGTGTCTACTTCTCACCTTTCACCGTGTCTAGTTCATGGCTATATACTAGTTCACTATTTTCATGACACTGCAGCGCAATCCTCGCTAAGCCTTGCTAAAACCAAGGAGGTTACAATAATAGCGAAAGTTGGGCTAGTTGGTGGTTCATACTTGGGAAGTAAAAACAGCACAAAACTATAGACAAGGACAGAGGAAGAGACAAAGAGGAGGGGGAAAAGTTGCTCCTCCTTTTTCCATCCTGAAAAGGAGGGTTCCCCCCTCCTTTTCAAAAATTCTACGAGAGGCGCGCCAATCTTTCTTTCAATAGTTGTGCAAGAATCGTTAACTGAATGCCTCTTATGTTCACATATATACATCGGTCAGACTGGTTGAGGTATCAACGCGCGCCTCAGAGAGCATCGAAATGCATTGAATAAAGCGATATTATCACACCTCACGTTTTCAGTCATGCAATGTCATCTTTGAAGGCCTGGTAGTATTGCACGGTCACCCTAATCAGACCGCGTGAGAAATCTTGGAGACACGTGATAAAGAACACTGCACCTTGTTTAAGTAGATCAACCCTCGCCATCACTACAAGACAAGAACCTTAACTTTAATAGCCAACTGCAAACACGTCCCTCGGTTGTCAGTCTTCTATGTGTGACATGCGGGATGCGCCCCCCCCCCCCCGCCCCCCTTTGTGATATATGTTTGTTAACACGTGTGATAACCTTTCAGTCGTGAGTGATCGCGTCTGCTGTGCATATTTCTCTACTGGCCCTACATGTATCTTCTTGCCATATATAGTCTTTATTGTAACCTGCAGTTCCGAAGGAAGTCGGTAGATGCATATGCTTTGAGAGGCACACAGTGGTCTATTCAATGTCTAGTCAATGGATTTTAGCTTACAAAGTCGCTTTAATTTTTAGAAACACCCTTTAAGTATACCACAACCATACAATTTACTCGCAAACAGCGTCAAAGAACATTGATTCCTGATGAATCCGTGAATTTATTGGGAGTGTTTGCAGCTTTTAGGCAACCAAGTTGTACTGTTTTTTATTTGCGCCGAAGGCGTACTGACGCTAAACAATAAAAAGATAGGTGTTTCTGATGAAATAACTTACAGAGACGAGTATTGGTGACTTAACTCCAATTTGATGCTTACTAAAAAAACTAGTATCAGAAAGACACACTTTAAGCACTGTCTGACCAGAAAGGATTGCCACGTTAAACTCGTTAGGCGTAGCCTCCTTGGTTTTAGCAAGGTCATCTCATATACATGTTCATATAAAATAAATGTGTTTTGTCATCATCGTTATTGTAGGTCTAAAAAGAAAATGTTCTGTTGAAACGTTATTGCCGTCTGTGACAACATATTTTTCTAAACAGGTTTAGGGAGGGTTGGGCCGCAGTGCCATGAATACAGTGAACTAGTATGTAGTCATGAACTAGAGGTGGTGAAAGGTGCGAAGTAGACACGACGCGCAGGCCGTAAGAAAGCGCGCGAGTGCCACCTCTCGGTTAGTCCTTGGCATGTCCACTGGATGGCGTTACGTTTACATGCTGAACATATGATGAAAAGATGCGAGATGGCAGCACTTAGAGTGTTCACTAGATGGACGGACGGGTGGACAAACAGACAGACAGATGCAAGGGCGAACGCACGTATAGATGGACAGATGACGCATGAATGGACGGACTCAGGGACAGACGCAAGTACATACGCAGGGAAGTACGCACGGATGAACGCCCAGACGTGCGGACAGATGCACGGATGGACGGATGGATGCACAGACAGCCGCACAGACGGACGTACGGATGGACGCACGGATGAATGATTTCATTTTCGTTAGAGGTGGAAATGTTGTAGGCCCGTGTGCTCAGATTTGGGTGCAGGTTAAAGAACCCCAGGTGGTCGAAATTTCTGGAGCGCTTCACTACGGCGTCTCTCATAATAATACGGTGCTTTTGGGACGTTAAACTCCACATATCAATCATCAACGGATGGATTCTTCGCCCCACTCATCATCTTCTTCCTGGACATGCTGTGATTTTATTCCACAAGCGCTTGCGCGCCCGTTGGCGGCGTTAGTGTGTTTGAAAAAGGTGTATTACTCGAAAAAGCAGTGAGTCGTGACGTCATGGAACCGTTGACGACGATGACGCGCCGCACCTGATGGCAAACTCCTAGCGTGAAAAGAACAAACGAGGACGAACTGTATAATAACAGGGCGCTTAGGCATACTTAACAAGTCTAAACTTGCATGTAAACAAACGTGTTCAGCTGTTTGATAGCGATGCGGAAATTGCGTACCAACAATGCATGTATGCCAGGAGATAGGCCGCGTTCAACCTGATTTTGGTCCTAACGTAATTACAGTTAATAATTAGCCTCCGAGATGTGCTGCTTAGAGTATATTTCCGGGGCAGAATTGGTTACGGCGAAACTAATTCCGCCTTTCTCATTTGGGTAGGCAGTTGTGAAAGCTTCGTGACGGGAAAATGGCGTTACGAAACAAGGACCGTTAACAGGAGGCGTGAATTCACTGTTTTCACCACTAAAGCGCAAAAAAGTAGACAACAGACCAAGAGGGACAACGAGGAGAAGCGCTTGTCTTCGTGGTTCCTCTTAATTCGTTGTATACCTTTTGGCGCTTCAACTGTAAAGGCATGAAATACCAACTAGCCCCTTCCACGCCTTGGTTCATTCATTGCTCGCTGGGGTCAAGCCAAGCGGCGAGGGCCGAAGGGAACAGCTCACAAGGTGGACACCAAGAGAACCGTGCCGCATGACACGAATGCAAAACACGCACTTCATATCAAGGCGGCAAGGAGAAAGTTTATTGCCATTTTACGAATTTTTACTACAGAAAGCAGAAAAAAATACTTGGATATTCTCAAGGAAATACACAGCTCACCCCTTTTAAAAAGTGTTCCAGGACTACCTTGTATATGATAGTTTTCATGGCCTCCGCAGATGAGTAGTTTGTGAGGCTTTCATTCACCGGTTATTTTGTGTTTTTTTTCTATTAACCAGGTCTATCTGAGTACGCATCACCCTTATGGTAAACACGCTTGTGGTGGTACCATCATCACGAAGCGCCATGTCCTCACCGCCGCCCATTGCCTTTGGCTGTAAGTGAACTTTACAAACACCCTGGCTTTGATGAAGTGGCGTTCACAAAACCAATGCAGGAACATTATAAGAGCAAGCAGAATGTTTGAAATCTCTATGTGACGTACGGTACATGGCTGGTGTGCTCCCGTAAATGTGGAATAGGAGCCCAGTCACTTCTAACATTGCCGTTGAAGCCTTATCATCGGCCTGATAACGCCGACTGCAAAAAAAGGCCTCTCCAATGAACCCCCAATCAACCCGGTCTTGTGCGTTCTGCTGCCATGTTATACCTGCGAACGTTTTATTCTCATCGACCCACCTATTTTTTTTTTTTTTTACCGGTCAGCCACGTGCCCCTCCCGTGTACATGTTTTTCTTCTTGATTTAAACTACGATATTCTTGACCCCGGTTTGTTCCCTCACCCACTCTGCTCTCTTCTTGTCTCTTGAGATTACACCTATCACTTTTCTTTCCATCGCACGCTGCGTAGTCCTCAACTTAAACTCAATCCCCTTTGTAAGCCTGCAGGTTTCTGCTCTCTAGGTAAGTACCGGCAAGATGGAGCTGTTATATACCTCCCTTTTGAAGATTAGTAGCAGATTACCCATTCATGGTTCGCGAACTCTTGTCGTTTGTTATCACACTAGTCTTATTGTTCTAGTTAATTCACTCTCATTGTTCGGCTGCACGGTTACTTCCTGCCCTAAGTAGACATATTCCTTTCCCACTTCCAGCGTCTCTCCGCCTATCGCTAGGTGCTGCTTTCTACCGAGATGGTTGCGCAGTGCTTTATTTTATGCATATTAATTTTCAGACCTACTTTCCTGCTTTCCTTGTCCGGTTCAGTAATCATGAGCATTAATTCGTTTCCTCAGAGACTCATCAAGGCAATGTTATGAGCGAGTCGCGGGCTATCAAGATACTCTCCATTAACTATTATACCTAACTCTTCAATCTAGCGCCCTGAAAACTTCCTGTAAACACGCTGGGAATCGCATTGTAGAGATCGTGTCTCCCTGTGTTACACCGTTCTCTATTGGGATTCTATCACTTTATTCGACCGTTCGAGCGACTATAGGCGGCGCAACGGTACGTCGAAATGGCGGATGAGATGACGAGATGGTTATTTCGCGAGCGTGCACATCAGCGTTGCAGAACGTGAAAGACGCGTTTATTGGTTCATGACTACCGAGAGACTGAACTGCGTCGCCGGATTATCACCATGTGGCAGCTTCTGAGCATAACTACATGGCGCCGCCTGTGTCGCTGGAATGAATGAATAGAGAACTATGTTGGCTGTGGAGCCACTGAAGATTTCTTCCAGTATTCATTTATGTAATATTTTATCTACCTAAACATTTTGTTATTTATTTACTTATTGTACCCGAACGGACTACAGAGGGGAGTGGTGAAAGATAAAATGTACAAAATTTGAGTAGTAATATAAGACAACAAGAAAATAATACTGTAATGCAAAAAACAACAGACATGTAGTAGCAGTACTTACAGTGTAGTTAGGAAATGTTTAGCTAGCATTAACAGAGTAAACACAGTTTACTCTGTTAATGTACGGTAACATTATTGCAGCTTATACAATGTTAGCCAATTAGTTGAAAATTAATGAGCAGCAATAACAACAAAACATGTTATTTTTGTTTGTTAAACACTGCCAGCTACAGCTTTGCGAGAAATTCTGTTATCAGTGATGGTGACGATGTCGTTGCAAAGGTGGTTCTATTGTCGAGGTGTCCTGTGGGAAAAGAATGACTGAAAGTGTTAGTATTTTCTGGTTGAATTGTGGCTTTGAAACGGTGGTCGATACGGTGCGATAATTAATGCTGCTGTGAAATGAAGTCATCTCTAAGACATGAATGATGGTATAACTTATAAAGGAAGGTTAAGCGAGCTGCTTTTCTCCGAGATGCTAGTGATGGAACACATACGTAGGCTTTCATTGAGGACATGCTGGAAGTGCAGTTGTAGTTAGAGTAAATTATTTGAACAGAATTATTTTAAACGAGCTCTAATGAAAAGTTGAAGTTTTCGTTGTGTGGGTCCCACACTGTGGAAGCATACTCTAATGGGGGGCGCAATAATGACTAATTAATTAGTAATTTTAGGAATGATAGGACATCGGAAAAGTTGTGACGTAAGCAACCAAGCGTGCTCTTACTTTTATTGATTATGTACTTAATGTGAAGAGATCAGGTTAGATTCCAAGTTATATGAACACCCAAGTATTTGTATGAATTCACAGGATCTAAAAGGGTATTACTGAAATGATTAAATGGAAGGGTAGTAGAATTGCTATGAACACGCAAAATTCTACATTCCGTATTATTTCTATTCACCAGATATTAAACCATTCACTTATGTAGTTGAAATACGATTGATGTGCATAAGAATCGTCAGTACTCGTTTTTTCACGGTAAATTACGCAATCCTCCACAAACAAGTGAACATGAGAAGTCGATGTGAATGGTAGATCGCTAATATAGATGAGAAAAATAAGTGGTCTTAATACTCATCCCTGAGGCACGCCGTTTATGTTGATGTAGGGTTCGTGGATGCGCTGATTCCGTAGCACCTTCATTACTGCTGATCTTTGGACGGAGTCAAATGCCTTCTCGTAATCTATAAAAGATATAAAAGGATTGTTTGTATTGCGTGAATTTCTTTATTATCTGATTGATAGTGTGAATGTGGTCTGTTGTTTTTGCTTGGTCTTTTGGTTGATTGAACTGTAATGTCGCCTTAATTCTATTAGCTATTATTTCTGTAAAGAGTTTGTAGATAACGGACAGTAAGTTGATCGTCCTGTGATTTTTCAAACCATTGAATTCTCCTTTTTTACGGAATAATTGCGCTGTTGGAATTCTTCCAAAATTATAGTATCCTTCCCGTCAAGAGACACTTCGTAAATAAAGTGGCCTCTTTATTTAGCACAATTTGTCTTCCTTCTTTTTGCGGCTCCATTGTTACCTTCCCCTTAACTTATCCTCACTTTCGATGCCTAGTGACTGCCAATCGGTAACAAATTAGGAGCTAATCAATATTCTACCAAGAATGATTAAATCATAGCAAATGTTTGGTTGACTTTAGCCTGGCTCATAACCAACTGAAAAAATGATCAATAGCGACTCAGTAATAGGTCAGTACCAATTACATTATAGACGCGGCCTGAAATACCTTTGTCTGACCCAAAAATTTATACCCGATAGGTCGTGATAACTAATCGACAGCTTATGACTAATTGTCATTACCTCACTATCCTAGGTAATATTTTGTCACGGGACAAAGATCACAGAACGCGTAATAGCTAGTGTTATGTATCGTGTCACTGTGACCACTGTTGGGTAATTCGTGTCTCAGCTCACAGCTGCTTCTGCGCAGAGCTGTCAGACGGAGCGGACAAGGTGACGGTGAGTTAAGGCAACATTTATGTACAGCATAAGCCGAGGCGTTACACATTTGGCACTTGGGCTGATGGCTTAGGGATTCCACACTGATGTGGGACGTGGAGATTTCTTTCGGAAGCTTTTGGACGCCCTGACGCTTTCGTCAGCTGCTTGTCGTCACGCCGCTTGGTTCTTTTATAAGACATGGCGACCCTTACGACAGCAGCCTCCAGTCAGCAAAGCAACGGCCTTCGAGTTAGCAGCCTCCAGTCAGGAACCGCCACTGGATTGCACCCATGGGCGAGCGTTATTGTCATGCGTTAACGGTACGAACACACTGGCGGCGAACCACTCACCGACACCACTTTTCTCTCTTTCTCCCGTGCAGCGTCGTAGACTTTCTACCACCAGCTGAATCGCTCGTTTGGCTACTTTCGCTGCTGCCGCCGGCTTCCCCACAAGCAAACCACCAATGAGCGTCTGCTTTTCTTCTATTCCTCCTCACATGAGGCGCGCCTCCTCACCCATGCCTTTTCCTCTCAACGTCTGTCGCGGATAAGACAAGCCGTGAGCTAGCAGGTGGGCGATCGCACCTCGACATGTCCATTCTGTCTCGCTTTTCTAGCGGCGCTGCCAATACAGCGTGCCGATGGCTGCCGAGTGGAGGCACCGACGGGTGACCTCGCGCCAGTGTGCACGTACCTTTACCTGCTTTCCGCGTTGCCGCCTCGCCGCTTTGTCCGCCTCGCCGCTTTGTCCGCCTCGCCGCTTCGTCCGCCTCGCCGCTTTGTCCGCCCCGCCTTCGGTGTGAACGAGCCTTAAGGCACACCATTGACGGTGATGGCGTCAGCCGGGCACGCTCGCTGCTTTTGACACTGGTTGTCTTTGAAGAAGCAATAAAGTTCGGTTTGGACTCCAAGGCATAGTACTGGTCACGTGGCATGTCGCCGAAAAAAAAAACATGCAACAACCATTCATGTGACTGAACTCCCAACATTACGTATTAGGTAGTCACGCGAAAAGTCTAGCCAAGTATCAATAGGAAGAACTATCCATACGGACCAAGCATACGTCATGAACCACCACCGCTGCAGACTTGGTGCGATACGGAAATAGACGCAAGCAACGGCAAGGCACTGCCCCGTTCTTCGGTGTTTTGTTTGAGGAATTTTCGTTAAATGCAGAGCATTTCTCAGTGAACTTCAGTGACCTTGAGCGTATCTATCTATCTATCTATCTATCTATCTATCTATCTATCTATCTATCTATCTATCTATCTATCTATCTATCTATCTATCTATCTATCTAGTCGCTTACGTTTGGGTGCTCTTGTAGTCACCCCATTTACTTGGCGTAAACCAAAGTTATCTTGAGAGAGTAATATGGTTTTGACGAATACGACGCGCTTGCAAAGAGATGAATAATGTCACAATCTTGTCGCGTACGTCGTCAAACACTTCCCGCCAGACAGCGGTGCACAACCATGGGCAGGTATGTGCCGCTGGTATGTGGGTATGTGCCACGGGTGATTGACACTTGGTATTTGCTCAGGAACGACGAAAACATACGTGGGCCATTTTAACGCGCGAGCGTTACGAAATACCCGACGTCGGTAGCGTCGACCCGACGAGTTCCAGCTGGAATCGAACCCCAGCACTCTGGGTGCCAATGAAGCATTTTACCACAGAACTACGCCAGGTCTCAGAACTACTTTTCAAATAGACGCTAATCCTCGTGAAACAATAGTGGTTTCAGTGATGCCTCCCTACTTTATAAACATTACATAACTACTTTTTTCATACAGCCGTTACGTCGGGTTATAACGTCAGATGTGATTGGTCGCCATGCGCTGAAAGTTGATTTATGCAGCAGTGTCCAGGGGAAGCATCTTCGCGAGTATCAGCGCTTCATATCAGCTTCTGGTGTTGCTAATCCGCATGTTCCAGTTGGCATCGTTGCGCAAGTGCAAACAACTGATTATAGAAACATCTGCAACTCTTCAACATATGTCTATGTGTGCGACATTTGTACAGTAATTTGGCGTCGTTTCATGACGTGTCGCTCAATAAAAAAAATTGCAACACGGTCACCTTTCTTCCGCTTGCTTCGCATAACGTGGATTCCCAGGTACGTGGAATCTGCCAAAATTTTTTCACTTGTTTTCTCAATGACGCTAAGTTGTTATGAGCCATGCGAACCGTGGTGTAAGCGTGTGGGCTTCTTTTCGCCATATTTCGTATATCTCCGTAGGAGAACCCGGCCACATCGAATCGGCGAAAGCGACAACTGAGTTGACAAGCCCGTTGCGCAAAACTGCACGCGTGTGGCGCGGGCCCCGTCACCCTTATACAATCAAAACTAATCATTCTCGGGTTAAATCGGCAGCAAAGTCGGTGGCAGCTCGAAACAGACGACAGGCACAGCGATTGTATTATCATGGCCGGTGCAGAGGTGCTATCGCCTAGCGATGCTAGCTTTATTGTACTACAACACTCACGGCTGACTGAATACGTCGATCACGCGAATGGACCATCGCTCTGACCACTGGCTATACGCGAAAAGAAGGAAAAGCTTAGGGATCAAGAGACGCGGCGTTCCGCACTTGCTCCCCTGTGCGAACGGCTGAGAACAATCTCCGAAATTTTCGCTTGCTGCCGCTGCAGTAGAGATGCGAAACTTCGGGTAATTTAGTGCAATTAAATAAACCCCGTGTTTTTTACAATATTTTGCAAAAAAACATTTTGTTAGCTTGTGGTAATGCTATATTGCCAAAAGTCAAAAGCGACCATTTTCCATCTGTAAGCCCCGCCGTTCTGGTCTTGCGGTTAGGGTACGCGGCTGTTCACCCGAATTTCGCCGGACCGAAACCCGCATGCGGCGGCATGCATTTTTGATGCAAGCGAAAACACTGTAGGCCCATAAGCGCAGATTTTGGTGCAGGTTAAAAAATACCAGATGGTCGAAATTTCCGGAGCTCTCTACTACGGCAACTCATAATCATATGGTGGTTTTGGAAAGTTAAACCCCACGTATCAATGAATCAACCAATCAATCGATCTATTAATATGCAAATAACAAATAGGAACTTCATTCTGTCTTTTCACAAAGCAATACAACATTTATGTGATCAAAGGCAGGTCAAAAGTACCCACGCAAACTCATTCAGTTCTCTGCGAATGGGTATGACTTCTTGGAATTGCTACGGCTGAGAACAAAAAAGTCCACATTACTATTTCGTCATAACTTAGATTACGGAAAAGTTCATCAAGATTGTAAAAACTCGAGGTTTTCAGTTTCATTCCGAGTCAGTATCACTGGCTTCATCTGTTGTTTTCTTCATTATGCTGAGATGTCACATTGGAAAATGCGTAGCTGCTGTTGCAGTGCTTACATGCAGCGGTTTCCCGTTTCTCGCAAATGGTCTCCCCGTCTGTGAAGTACATCAGCACGTCGCAAATCTGTCTTACGATTGCAGAAACTGCTTGCGCATGGCTTTATATGCGGGCTTCCGCCTCGGGCTGCAAACGCGTACGAAGGAAAGTCAAAACTGATCAAAAAAGCCACAACTTTGCCGCAAAGGCAAAGCAATGAATGCGATAGCAACAAATTGGAAGATCACGTGCAGAATGGCAAGCAGACTGAAACGCGCCCCACGTTGTTCCCGCACAAATGTGAGCGTACTCACAGGTACAGACGAACGTGATTAAGCGTCTCAGTTGTTACTTTTCTGTGTCTGAAAAGCGCGCCTTTTTCGCAAACCTAGGCTGTGCAACGATTACAGGGACCTTTGTGCACCATTTAACTACGACACAATCGTTCCAGTGCAAGCCCGACACCAGCAAAGGCATATAATAGTCCCCACCGGGAGATAAGGACGCATGAGAGATCATCCGCCAAAGTAGGTGTGAGAGATGACAGCCGCCGCGTTCTCATTGCGCCATCTTGCTGATATTGCTGAAAACAGATAGTTACCCCCTCCCCCGAGAGGCCCGCCGACATCGGTAAGTGGTAGATGTAAATGACTTTCCGTTTCAACGTTGAAGGAGGTACCTATCAGTGGCTCAGTGGTTAACGACTCGCATTCGCGACGCGGAGGTCCCACGCTGGATGGCGCGTGCTGGAGTCCTTTTTTTCTAGATTTTTCTCTTTCTCGCGTGAAAAAATATATATTAGACGTATACATACACTGTGCATGACATCGACGCTGATGCCGGTGGCGAAATCCAGCCGCGAGTGTCCATATAATTGCTATCGCAATAATAAGGGGCACCAAAACATCGGAATTCGCCCCCAACACGACCGCACCGGAACGAAGAAGCTACGCTACCATCTAGCTATATAGGCTTGATTGATTGATTGATATGTGGGGTTTAACGTCCCAAAACCACCATATGATTATGAGAGACGCCGTATAGGAGGGCTCCCGAAATTTCGACTTTCTGGGGTTCTTTAACGTGCACCCAAATCTGAGCAAATGGGCCTACAACATTTCCGCCTTCATTGCAAATGCAGTTGGCGCAGCCAGGATTTGTTCCCGCGACCTGCGGGTCAGCAGCCGAGTGCCTTATTCACTAGACCACCGCAACAGGGCAAGCTATACAGGCTGACACTGCTGTCGACTTTAGGCGATGTTGATAGCGCGCGGTCACACGTTGTTTGGAGTCAAGGTATCAAGTGCGATGTTTCGGCTTCATGTTCTGCGTTTTAGTTTAACGTTCAACTCTAGATGTTGTATATAAGCTTTAGTTGTGTACGTCTTACCCCCCAGAAATTTAAGCAAATATTTACAACAGCACTGAAAAAAACGAAAAAGAACTGTATTTCAATAAAATTTTCCTGTTTTAATTTCGCACTTTGCCTCTCTACGCAGGAAGAAGCTTCGTGGGTAAAGTCTGCACACAGTTCATTGAGAAATCTTGGAATTTAGCAGAACTATACAACTAGGCCGAACACTAGTTCCAGTAATGGTTCCAGCCTTAGTTCATTATTGCAAGCTGCGCACATTTCTTCTGTACTGTTTCTTGTTTCCTGTACTGGTATTACGTTTACTATTGCCAAACGAACAATCTTGAGCACAAGCTAGTGTATCTGCGCTTTTTTTTCAACTTTTTTCAACAACTTTTCTTTGAACTTTGGTGCAGTAAGAACGCCCACGTGTACAAGGTCATTGTCTCTTATGGAAGTGTGGACCGTCGTAAAGGCCGTAAGGTCGAGGCTTCAAAGATGCTCATTCACAAGGGCTATAGCGAAAATAGGATGTTGAATGACATCGCCCTTCTTGAGGTACTGTGCATCTTTCCGTATTGTAGTTCATTGGTGTTTTCTGACAGATGGGTGCATATGAATTAGGACGTGAGCGTGTGTTTTTTGTGCACTTGACTGTATAGCTAAAAACATACTGTGGAGACACCTGTTTAGTTTCTATAATTCGTGAGTGCGGAAAATTGAATGCGCTGCATGCAACTACTTAAAAACGTGGCCATACGCAGAAGTACAGTACCTGCGAAAAACCTTTAAGGCATTAAGTACACAATGCTGATGCGGACTACAAATAATGGCCGAGCTTGCAGTAGTGGGTTATAAACGTTTAATGGTTCACTGGTTAAGCAATTCGCAGACGTATGACGTAAGATTAAATGTACGAAACACCGTACTTTTCCGCCACTGATGTCTTTAACCGCAATCAAGCAAAATAAAAAAATACACCACCTCTTGCTGAAGGGAACCATCTCTAAATGTGAAGCAGCCGGCACGTACGCCTACACCAGCAGTTCCTTTGACGCTGGTACTCATCGCGGCGTAGACGAAAGAAGAAACCTGTTGAGGCACAAAGCACGCAGGGTTGAACTGGTGTTTTCTACTCAACATGCTAATCGCTGCTAAAGGGCAATGAGAGAGAGAGAGAGGACTCGGATGAGACACAGAGACCCGCAGTCCACTTTTAGTTAACACACACACTCCAAATTTTTATTGTTCAACAACGCACAGGAGAAATCTTCCAGCAGCACTACTTCAGAGGTCAGGATGTAGCGCTTATATATATACGGGGTGGCTAGTGAACGGCTAATAATCGGGAGCAGTCGGTTTTTCAATCAAGGAACTCGCTAGCATGCAGATACGGCCTGCGTCGGCGTTGGGAGGCGACAGAGGTGAAGCAAAGGAGAGGAGAAACAGAGAAGGAGATGCAACAGGCTGTGGGGTTGTGAGTGCCACGGAGAGGGCCCCATGTAAGAGAGAGAGAGAGAGAGAGAGCGAGCCTAGGCTAGGAGACGCTGCCTGCGTAGGTGTTGCGATGAGAGAGAGTGGAGAGCGTCGGAAAAAAGAGTGGTGGTGGTGGTAGTGGTTAGACGATGAGAAAAGGCACCTAATTTCTGCAACCCGGTCGGGAGCACGGCGCAGTGCCTAAAAGAAGAGTGGGAGACACACAGTAGGCATACGCGCAGTGGAACGCGGACGCTACCAGATCAAACTCGCTCGCAAGATGGTTCACATGTGAAATAACCAGGATGGAATGTAATTCGAACTTGGGTCTTCTTCGTGGCAGTCGAGTATTCTACCACAGACCCATGCCAGTACTAACAGCTACTCCTTAAAACGACACTATAAAGGCTTCACGTTGTGAACTAATTACATTAGCCTATGTATGCAGGCTGTCCAACATAAATTAAGCCAAGAATTTGAAAACGAAAGACACTTCAGTGGCGAATTGAGCGAAACGCGTATTACTATCACTAGCCTGTTAGTACGCAGGCAATTTTTTTTATTTCTCCCCGTGCAAACAATTAATAATTATTTTCATATCCAATTTTAATTAAGGACTGCGAACTTAAAATATGAACACTGAGATGTAGAGCACTTTCAGAAACCACAGACAAAATTGCTTCCTGTACGATACGTCTAGCGCTGTTGTTTTTTCTACGTTGTAAACAAAGCCTATTTGTGCGCTCGCGGTCTGTCACACAGCTTACTTTTCACGTTTCGCTGGCTTTCTTTAGAACGCGGAAAAAATAACAGCGCGAGACGTATCGTACAGGAAACAATTTAGTCGGTGGTTTTTGAGAGTGCTCTACATATCAGTGTTGATATTTTTGGGTTTCCAGCCCATAAATAATATATTACGTAATTAGAAATTATAAAACTTGGGTACGGGGAGAAATGAAAAAAAACATGCCTGAGTACCTACAGGCTAGTGCGAGCTGTATGCGTTTGGTTCAATTCACCTCCTAAGTGCCGTCCACTTTCAAGTTTTTGGCTCAAGTTATGTGGGACACCCTGTCTAGTGTAGCATAGGATAAAGACTGAGGCGCGATGGCAACCTCACGACGTGGTGCGCAGTAAAATGTAATGTACTCGTTGCTTCGCACGACAGACCTTTTGTTGCTGAATGTGTGAGTGATATGTATGTTTCTGATATAAAATTGGCAATGAAAGGTTATATTAAAGGGGCGTGCTTCAGCGGTTAGAGCACCCGTCGCCTGCCATCGCAAAACAAGAGGCCGTGGGTTGGAATTCCATTTAGAAAGCTTTTCCTTCAAGTTTTTTTTTGTATTTTATATTGTTCATTTCGCTACCGTATTTCGGTGGAGGAAATAGGCAAGCAAATTTCTAATGAACTCTGACATAAAGCACTTATGTTATAATGCGCAATAAACGGAAAACTATAAGGCGAGTTAAATTATCACCGCTGTGCAAGAATACCTTAGGTGAGCGAACGCCGGGCCTATCCAGTGCCCGATAATCTTCGGCTTCACAACGAGCCCGAGAGATGGCGCTAGAAACTTTGCCCCGACTCCCCCTCCTCCCTCTCAGGGTAGGAAAGCCCCGTACGTAGGAAAGCAGCGGCGCTCATGTATCCCCTCGCCGCACTGTCAACCTCCTCCCTTATCACCCGCTCCTTCTCGGCGTCAGTTTATGCGTGTCTCGTGGTTCATATAACGCGATAACCCGGTTTTCTCCGATTTAGAAAACGTCGCCCAAGTGCTGGATGTGCCTTGCGGAATTCGCCAGCAGCCCGCCACGGTCCCGAGTTCGGCGAGCCCTCTATCGGCACGCCGAAAACGAGAACATAATCGGTCTCTCCCAGCCAAGCGCTTGATTCGCGGCGGCGTTAGCTCACCTAAAGTATTCTTGAACGGTGACCATCACTACTATTCTGAAGCGCAAGTTACTGCTCTACTGAATGTTACCAACACTGTCCTATGCAGGTGAAATACCCGTTCAAGTTTCGCAAAGAAGTCGCGCCTATCTGCCTCCAGATGACTCCTGTGCCAATCGTCGACAAAGAAGCCGTCGCAGCCGGATGGGGATCTTATTACGTTGGCAAGATATAATATCTTCTTTCTTGGGATAAGGTGTTGGACAAATTCTACGAAACCAAAATGATCTGTTTAATGATCCTAAGGCTAGCTTTCTTGCAATGCACTTAGCCCAATACTTGCGGAATATAAAGAAGGTCTACAAAGCCCCGGAAATCGCGTGGGGCAACGATTTTCGTTTTTGATTTCGGAGTGATACTTGCGACCTAAATGGGATCTAACTAGAATCGTATGCTCGATTGGCGGGGGCACGTTAGTGAACCTGGTGCTGAGTTCACTGAGCATTTTTAAATAATCCAAGTTTACTGCTTGTGTTTAGTACATTAAAATTCTTTCTTGCTCGTATTACGTACAATAGATCTTGATTTCACGCCATTTCATGTAGACACAACTGAAGCGTTTTCAGCTGCCAACACCATCTTTGTTCCGTCATTCATTTTCGCTTCGCAGGTGGACCTGGCTATAACTTTCTTCGTCACACAACGGTCACTATTTACTCGGATGAAATGTGCACTTTGCTATCTATGGGAAGCTCCTACTCAGCCGCCCTTCAATGTTGTGCCCACAAGCGAAGCACGGGCGTCTGCTCAGTAAGCCACAATACTTATGAATTATCTACTTCTAACCATCCCCCTCGACAGGCATGCGCAAAAACCACCTTCAACATTAGGTAGCCAAAATTTGTCAAATGTGCCTGAATACAACCGCATGGCACATCTTTTTTGCCTAGCTCACAATAAGTGGTGCTCACCCGATTTCTTTGAGTGTTATTCTCGCTGTAAGTTAAACGCCTGGGGACCCTGTATTATTATGAGCCATTTCCTACATTAGGCTCATGTTGTAATCATAATCATTGCTTACCTATATAACACATCATGGGTACATTCATGCTGTCATTCACCTACCAATCAGTAGGTACTGCGGCAACGTACCCAACAACACTATCGCCTCTGCCTTTTCATTCGTCCTTAAATAATTCACATACCTCTGTTGCGATCGCCCGTCCAACCTCTCTCAACACGTCTTTGCACACCTTTTAATTGTGTTATTCGCAAGCTAATCTAACCACCGGTTACTCATACAACTACCATCAGGTGTGTTGATGACAAGTAATCTAATGTCATTCTTAAGGTCTCTTCTTTTACCACATCCCATATATATATATATATTGTCACTAGCGTCAGAAGGTCTTCTACTGGGAAGAACTTAGCTGGAGAGGCGCACAGAAAAACACAAGGCTTGCGCGGTAGGGGAAGCACTGTCACGGTTAAAGCTGGAAAAGCGACCTTTCAGAGCCTTTTAAAAACACTCATTGGGTAACTACAGCAAGTACACTTGCTTAGTACAACGTGACACAACGTGCATAATCTTTAAGGAGTGCCTACGATGCCGGGGCGAAAAGGCCCCATCAGAGACTACCTCGTAGTCAACGTCTTTCGCGCGTCGCAACACTTTGTAGGATCCAAAGTAGCCACCGAATAGTTTTTCTAACAGTCTTTGGCGTCGAACCGGAGTCCAAACCCACACTTTATTGCTTGGATTGTAGTCAACTTGTCCATGGCTAGCGTTGTAGCGCATGCATCTGTATTCTGCTGGTGCGTATTGTATAGGCGTGCTAATTGACGCGCTTCTTCAGCGTACTGGGTAAGTTGCACAGCGTCAGGCATGATCGAAGCATCGAAATTGTGTGGCAGCATCGCATCCAGCTTGGTTCGAACCTCACGCCCTTGAATAAGACGGAAAGGCGTGAATCGCGTAGTCTCCTGAACAGCAGTATTGTACGCGGATGTGACGTACGGTAGCGCCTGATACCACGTTTTGTCCTGGGCATCTACGTACATCCGTGGATAACATATCAGCGATGGTTTTGTTGAGTCGCTCTGTGAAGCCTTCGCTCTGCGGATGATATGTCGTGGTACTGCGATGGCTCGCGTAGCTGAGCTTGAATACGTCATGAATGAGCTGGGCCGTGAACGCTGTTCCTTTGTCAGTGATTACCCATGAAGGTCACCATGTCGAAAAATAATCTGGTCCATGAAAAATTGGGCAAATTGGAAGCCGTAGCGCGTCGCAGTGCTTTTGTTTCAGCGTACTTCGTCAAATGGTCTGTGGCTACTACGATCCACTCGTTGCCGAAGATGACAACGGAAAAGGCCCCAGTAAACCTATTCCTACTTGATCGAATGGCGCCATAGGTGGTTCGATCGGTTGAGGAAGCCCCGTGGGCTTCAGTGGTGGGCATTTGTGGCGTTGACATTCCCAGCAGCTTTTCGCGTATCGCTTAACGAATGCGGAAGGCTTAGGTGAGCAGTAGGCTTGTGGAACTGTGGCGAAAGTTTGAGGGGAACCTAAGTGACCAGGGGTAGGCTCATTGTGGCAGGCGAGAAGATTGTCGTTACGCATGTCAGTTGACACGACTAGAAGGTAGGTTCTCTCCTTACCGTTGGAGTTTTTTTTTATATACAGAACTCAATCTTGCAGGTAGAACGACGACAGATTCTGAGAAAGGTGTCCAGGTATTGAGGAGTTGCGCCCTTTAATGTTTTCGATAATGCGTGGATTTCGTCGTCCTCGCGCTGTCATGCACTGAGATCCGCTGTAGTAAGAGCCAGTCACGAGGCTGTTTATTGAGGAAGCACTCGTGTAGGTTCGTGTGAACCAAAAACTGATGACATAACTGTCGTCGAGAAATGAATCAATGAGATTCTTTGTTTCCACCAAATACTCAACACTCTATATACTTCAGGAATCCCGAAAGATAAATTGCAGGCAAGGAACACAGCACGCAAAACTTGAAAGATGTTAACAGAAAGAACATATGGCTGAAGACGCTAACAATGCGTGGAAATAAATGATCGGTGAAAATTACCTTTAGCACAACATAGTGGGGTGCGGTGCTTGCAGCGGAGGCTCTGCTACCAAGACATGGACGCACTCACGCAAACGGTGACAGCGGTGATGCGATTGAGACGCCCACGTCGTTGACTGGCAGGTAAAGAAGCGTTGAGGTGGTCGAGGTCAGTAACCTTTCGGCGTTCGGCAGCCGCAGCTCAGACACGAAGCTGTAGACATTTCTTGGCCAACGCCAGAAGACCAGAAAAAGCCTGACGCCGTCAGGTGACGAGAAGAATGTGGGAGCCCGCAGTGACCTTGATGCAAAAGCTCTGCTGGCAGCCATCGCCGCGCCCTGGCTACCTTCTTCACATGATCGCGACTCATACGTCTGCCTGGCTTCACTGTTCTTCTCCCGTGACTGTCTTAAATCCCCGTTGAGTTACCTTACTGGCTCAAAAATGTTCCCGCCCACCCGAGCCGCAACCTAGCTCCATCTTTGTCGTCCTCTTTGGTTCAGGCTGATGGTAACACGCACTTTTTAAACGCACACAATCACATCACGAAAGCCCTTTTTAGGTTTTTTCGCCTTGAAAAACTGCATATAACGCGCGTTTCACCACACACAACACACACCCTACCCACGTTAACTACAATCTTACGATGGATCCATTTATTGTGCCTTGAATGTTCCCACAAAATCTATTGAAAGTCCACTTCACATTTCACAGCCTAGCTACAGCGTCCTGCCCAAACCTAAGCAAACCACACTTCCCGCTAAATCGTAGTTTTAAATCCAGAATATATATAGACTATGAACGTCCATGCCCATAAGCCTAATTTCAGATGCAGCGACCGGCTCGACAACTCGACTCTCGGAATTGCGTCTCATACCCTATGAACAGCATATTTGTTTCTTTCACGTGAATGTAAAACGAAAACCTTGTATTGCCTCCGATCAGATACCTGCCTGTAGTTCTGCCTCGGGATAGCATGACAATTCGACGAGTTGATTGCCTTAGTGTGGCAATACATGGACAACAACAGTAGCGTATGCCACAAGTGTTAGCGGTCTGCAATGCTCTACTGCCCTGTGTAGTCACGTCAGCGCCTTGTCTAGGCCCAGACGTCTTTAAGACACCAAAGATTGTAACCTGAACGATTTTCTGATCAGTTGACACCACAGAAGGCACCTGAGCTTCCTCGTTGCTCAAAGAGCTTTGCAGTGTAATTGGCTTGCTATATTCTTGTTCACTTCCTGCAAGGCTAGCCGTTTTACTGTGAATACATTCAATATTTACGTTTGGCCCTTCCTGCCTTTCAACTTCGTCATTTGCCACTGGCTCAATTTGTGACACTGCCATGTACACTTGGACAGCTGTTTCTGCCCTCTTTGTCAGATCTCTTGTATAAATCTCAACAGAACTAAATATGAACTTGGGTCTGTTTATAATATAGTTATCCACATGGCCATAAGCCATGCCGACGGCATCTGTTATTACAGCTGGCTGCACGCAGACAGACACTGCTGCAACCCCTCTGAGCTTTCCACTTGGCTAGCACGCAACAAACATGCTCCTTCCTCTAATTTCTTTTTGATTTTTGAACGAAATGATTTCGTAGTCGTTTCCTGCTCTTCGCACGGAACGCTACACTCTCTACTCTGGTATGACTTAATCACTGCGCCACGTTGAGGCGAGCTAACTATGTTTCTCAACCATGCCCGTGCCACTGCTTAAATTTGGTAGTGTTACGCGGGATGACTCTACGGCGAGAGTTGTCTACAGGGCATGACTCCTTGTTATGCCACTTGTTTTGCTTCGTGCACCGGAAGACTCGGCGTCCCTTCTAGAGACTGCCCCTTGGTTTTCGGATGTGCACGCCATGCGAACATTCATTGCCTTTTCATCTGTGCTGTCTAGAGAATTCAATACCTCGTCTATTAATGTGCTTTCCGTTGCACCAGTTCGCGTAGCCAGATGGCTATACAAGGAACTCGAAAGTTCCTTCTTTGAAACTTCCTCTGAAGCCACATTGATTACGGTCACCAAACATCGACAAATCTCTCCCTCACTCTTCCCTTCAACTCTGCCGTCTACCTGTAGTGAATCTGCTCCTAAAGTTTCTTCACAGGCGTTATCAAGCCTGCCATCGGAAAGAGTCACTGAATTACTCACAAACGAGAGGTGGCACACGCACACTTTCTTACGGCTTCCGCTTCGGGTCTACCTCCCACCTTTAACCACTTTGAGCTCACGGTATATACTAGTTCACTGTATTCATGGCACTACGGCCCAACGCTCGCTAAACCTTTCTAAAACGAAGGAGGTTACGCCCAGCGAGTATAACGTAGCAACCTTTTCTTGCCAGATAGGGCTCAATGTACCATACGAGCACACACCGACGGCAACGAGCATCGACAACTACAAACCTGTATCGATGTGGCTTTCATTATAAAACCATGAATTGCTTTAAAAACGCCTGGCGTCTTTCGTTAAGCAGCTGGCGTCTTCTTTTTGTTTTGCTTTAGAGACATCTGGCGTCCTTTCGTTTTGCTTTTAGAAAACATCTGGCGTCTTCCGTTGGTATATTTCATAATTCAATGGCGTTTTGAACAAAAATTTTTATTGTTTACTCACGCACAGGAGCGATCTCACCAGGCACTACCTTGGAGGTAAAGAATGGCTGCTACTGGGAATGAGAGATGGCTGAAGTCGGCTTTTAACTCTTCTACTAACGTTTCCTACTGGATCATTCC